ATATATAAAAGTTGCTGGTATAGTGCATTGAGGACGTCCACATGGGATTAAAAAACTCAATCTGATTTGTCCACATCAGCATATTCATTAAATAAAAAAATATTAAGTATGATTAGGACGGAAAAACTTGATTTAATTGGTCCACATCAGCTTTTAAATCAACCCAAAATTATTAAGTATAATTAAAACATTAAAAGTTAATTTAACAAATTATGTTCAAAAAAATATAAATTCAATCTGACTGATCCAAATCAATATATTTATTAAATCGGAAAATGTTAATATGGTTTAAAAATTTAAAATTTAAATAAAAAAATTCACAATTAACAATACATGTATATAAAAAAAAGTAACTATTATCAATTATCAATTTATTTATTTTTACAATAACTCGATTTAACTATTAAAACAATGAAAACTGAATAAAAATATAACATAAAACTCTTGGAAGACATGATGGAGAAGGAAAAAATAGTTTTGCATTATCATTATAGCTTCCTAACAAAATTAAATGCAAATCAACATGAATCATGGATTATATATACAGTGGTACACAACATCAATAAAATTTTCAATAAAAAAACTAAATATTTGAACATATAAACCTTCAAGAAAAAAAGAACTATATAAATTCTATGGAAAACAGAAAATAATACCAAAATCTTAGCAAGATTATATTTCTCTAAATCAAATGTATATGTACGTCAAAGTTAAATAATTCGATAGGTGTCATTGTTATTATTTTACCTAATAGTTTGTTAAAATTTATAAATAAGAATAGGATAAATTACACATTATATATTAAATTCTCATATAAAAATGAAAATTTCTATAAATATATAATTTTTAATAATTTTAAAGATAATAGCTAAAAAAATATACCAAAATATTAATACAGTCTGGGGCGTAGCGCGAGTTATATACCTAGTAAGATTTAAAGATTCAATTTAATTGGTACACATCATCATTATTTTTAGTTAATTATATATTGTATATCAAAATTAATTAATTCGTTTTAATTGTTACAAGGAAAATTTCTAAATTTTAATTAATTTTGTTTTGTTGTTATTAGGAAAGTTTCTATATTTTAAGTTAGTTATTAATAAAATAAAATTTAAAATAGATCTTATTTTCTATTAACAATAAAAAGATAAATTAACATATAAATAGTTTATGGTAGAAAAATCATATATATTGAACAAAATTCTTAAAAACTCACGACAAACAATTAAAATTTGAACTGCTAACTTAAAATATATTAGTTGTGGTCCGTGTTAAAATTTCTAAATTTTAATTAATTTTGTTTTTGTTGTTATTAGAAAAATTTCTAAATTTTAAGTTAGTTATTAATAAAATAGATTTTCGAAAATAGATATTATTTCTTATTAACAATAAAAAGTAAACTAACAGATAAATATATTATGATATAAAAATCATATATATTGAACAAAATAATTAAAAACTGTATTTAAAACCATATTTAAATTATTTTAAAATTTTAATCACGGCAAACAATTAAAATCTGAACTTCTAACTTAAAATAGATTAGTTGTGGTCCGTGTTAATGTCTTAGGCCAAAGAGAGCGTTCACATATGACATGTATACTCAATCTAAATGGTCTATATTAGCGTTTTTTATTAAACATAGAAAATATTAAATATTATTAATAATTAATAATTTTAATAAATTAAAACATACATAATATAAAATTATCATAGTAGAATGGAAAATTAAAATAAAAAATTTTAACTAACAAAACAGATGAAATAAAATTATGTCGAAAAGCCAAATCTATAACCTTTGTCATAATAAAATGAAAACTCATTATCACAAAAAACTAAACTAACCAAAACAAATATGTAAATCAATAACAGAAAAGTTAAATTAAAATAAAAACATTCAGCATATATATTTTAAATGAGTAATTTATTTAGAAAATATATTATGATTAAATTTTTATATAAACATATAAAATTGTTATTTAAAAATACATTTCTACAAAAAAAAATATTAAATTAACAATAGAAAAAATTATCTGAAACATGATATTTAGTGTAATTATTTAGAAAATTAACACAAAAAGCTTAACTAACCAAAAATGATACTTTATGCTAACTACCAAAGAAAACAATAAAAAAATTTTAACTAACCAAAAAACAAAACATAAATTATTTCTTGCAATATGTCAATACAATTAAAATAAAAGGCTGTATTGAGAAAGTTAAATTAACAAACAAAAAGGGTATTAACTTGATATTATGGTATTTATTTAACAAAATCAATATAAACAAAATAAGTAAGAAAATTAAAAAAAAAACTAAGTAATACTAAAAAAATTAACTAATAAAAATAATAAAAATATCTAAGCTAATTATTTAAGAAATTAATTAACTAAAAAATTAAAACGAAAATTACGTTTTACAAAATGTAATTTTTTTAAAACACCTAAAAATATATTTACTTGATATCTGATTAACTACTTAATAAATCTATATAAAAATATTTAACGAATAAAAAGTAAAAAATGAATTTATGTCTTCAAATTATCAATATGTTCAAAATAATTGTGTTTTAAAATAAAATAGAAATCAATATCAAGAAAGGTAAACTATCAAAGTAAGTCGTATAAAATAAAATTAGATTGATATTTAGGCTAACTAACAAAAAAAATTAACTAAAAAAAGCAAATGATGATATAAGCTTTTAAGAGAAGTTCACATGAAATTTCGAATAACCAGTTATAGCATGTCAAAATAGCATTTTAATTAATATAAAAAGAAAATTTAACAAATAATTTTTTTATCTAAAAGATATTAAATTGATATATATGATACCTATTTAAAAAAAACAATAACAAAAGAGATTAACTAAAAGTATATATATGTTTTAAGTATATCAAACATGCAAAAAATTAGATAACTAAAATAAAATATAAAATTACAATCGAAGATATTTAAAATAACAATAACAAGATCTAAGAAGAAAATTAGTTTGAAATGTAGTTCCAGAAAATTCATGATTTCTAAAATATTGGCGTTGAGTATGAATAACCATATAAAGTTATAGTTTGTTATACAAGTTTCTAAATCAAACATATTATTTAAATTTATAAAGACTAATACCTTTGATGCGTCTAGTTTAAAAACTAACAAAGAAAAATACTACACAAGTAACTTTACATTCAAAATTTAACAAGTAACAAAGTCTGATTTTTATACATAGTTACTGTTTATAACTTAGCCAACATGAACAACATCTTCTAAAATTTTATTTAAATAATAAAATATGACAAAGCTATGAATCAAGTTCAAATTGGAATATATCTAGGTAAACTATTCAAATCAAAACATGAATAGAACACACAAAAGATAAAAAAAAATTTAAACAGTGATAATGTGAAGTCTCCACACCATCTTACATGTTTAAAAACAAAAACTAGCAAATAGTTGAATGGAAATAAAATAGATCTTATAAATTGAATAGATATATTGCCTAAAATTCATTGAAGATCTCGTAGAGATGCAAAAAATAGTTTTACACATTTAGTGTAGCTTACTAACAAAAGTAAATCCGAATCAACATAAAATATATATTATATAGGTATAGGTACACAATATCAACGAGATATTTAGTAAAAAACTAAATATTTAAACATAGAAACTTAAAAAAAAAGAACTATAGAAATCCTAAGGACACAAAAGAAAACACCAAAAATTTAGTAAGAAAATCATTTTCTAAATTAAACGTATGCACGTCGAAGTTGGATAATTCGTTAGGTGTCATTACTATGATTTTACTTAATAAGATTTATAACTTTATAAACAAAAAATATAAAAAATTACATATTATGTTTTAAATTTTTGATATAAAGGAAAAATTTTATAAATATATTATAGTTTTGATAATTTAAAAGATATTAACCAAAAAATAAAAATAAATTATTTATACAGACTCGCGCGTAGCGCAAGTTAAAAACCTAGTAATATTAAAAATCTTGAGGAAGGGTTGAGAGAGACAAAAGAAGCACGTACATTTAGATTCGTCCGAAGAAATGGAAAGCAAAATTGTACATTTTGGCATGTTGTACAACTTCAATTATTGTTAAATTTAAATATAACTCAAAACTATAAAATATAGTATATATTAGATAGTTTTTTAAGCTATTGAATTTGGCCAACTGTATCTAATATATATTAAACAGGAAACATTAGTGGCTTATGTGTCATTGTCTCTGAATTTTAAATTTTTTAAATTTCAATAATAGTTAAAAACTTAAATAAATTATTCTTGCAACCAAACACAATTATTTTGCAACCAAACAAAAACTTTTCTAATTATATATCTTTTAATTGTATTTAATATTTTAAAAATTTGCAATTAATATTTATGTTTTTTTAATTAAAACAATTCGATTTAAATAAATATGACAGAAAATTTAAGTGAATTTTTATTTTTTTTAAAGTATCTAATATATATTAAACAGGAAGCATTAGCTTAGGTGTCATTATCTCATTTTTCTAATATTTTTATTGATTTATTTTTGTATGCTATCCTTAGTACCAAACACTTTATTTAAAATTACTTAAATTAAATATAATTTAAATCGAATCAATCACAAATAATTCAATAACTTTATTGGTTGAGTAAATTAAATTAGTTACCTGTATTATTATTGGAAATAAAAATTATTTCCATGTTTTAGATCTACGAGTATTTATTGTTTTGCAATAGTTTTAATTCACATATTATACAAACGAAAAAATAATATTATTTTTTGAAAACCGGATGAAAGTAAATATAAATCTCGCTACATATAAGTTTAAATTAAAAACAAAAATAACTAAATTTTCTTAAATTTCGACTGAACATTTTTAGATACTCATATATTTTTTAAAACTTAATAAATTATAGAATATTTCTTAAATATTTTTACAAATCTTACTCCGTAACCTAGTTTAAAACAAACCTCAGGTCTTTCACCATTAATCTATAGATTTTTCCACCATTAATTTTTTCTTTTCTTTTTTCACTGGAAAAATTACTTTATTGATCTGGTTCAGATAGTTTTAAACCGTACTCTGAAAATACTGTCTCATCCCACGCACGAGGAGAGGCCGAAAACAAACAAATGTTGAAAAAGCAATTTCAAGAAGAAAAAGGCCCAATAACTACTAAGGTGCCTAAAGGCCCGGTAAAAGACCCAATTGGTTTTTTTGTTTTTTTTTAGTTGTTTATGTTTTTGCCGCCCCGCGGATACATGTCCGAGTGTTGGTGATGGTAAGAAATTCAACGATTTCCCCGGAAAAACTGAGAATTTATTGTTCCGCTCAGATACACCGTTTTGTCAGGCACTGCTACCTCGGTGATAAACGTCAGATTTTAATGTCCCAGATGGATCTAAGTGCTTTGTTGTGTCTTCTCCTACTCGGGCGGTACCTGCCGGAGTCTGAAGTTTCAGAGGACAGTGAGTCAGAATCATAATGCTTCTTGCTCTTCTTCTTTATATCTTTTCCCTTCTTCGAACTTCTGTTCTCCCTACTATCTTCTGAGCCTGTGGAAAATTCATCAGTTTCCTCAACAATCCGAGATGAATGCTTCTTGTGGCTTTTGTTCTTTTTGGACTTTCTTTTGTTATTCGATGACAAACTCTGCGGTAATTCTATTGGGATGCTGCCCTCAAGGAACCCTGTAATATCGAAAGGAATTGAAAAAATGAGTTTAGACAATCTACTTATGAGATGGGACTTGTAAAAAGAAATTAACCTTCAAAGGGTCGAGAAATTCACCTCCATATTCGTCGAAGATATCTTCAGATTTGGATCGTCAAGATCAAAACCACCACGAGGAGGACTCAAGCCCGGCTTTTGTTTCAATTCCCACTTCAGAGAGTGCAAAAAGTCAGAGAGCGTTTCCGGTTAATGATACATATCCAGGAAAGATTTTGAAGGATGAGAATTAAGAGAAATTAAGACCAACCTCGCCGGGATCTGTATGAGCAATGATAGCAGTCAATGGATCATCTCTTTTCAATCGAAGTTCTTCGTTTGGCATCACTGCATCCTTCAATGGACAATCACGATCACCACTTTAGTGTCCAAAGTTTCCACATCTCAGACATTTCACATTACGCACTTCAACTGCAAATGGCTTTACTCTCCCAGCGATACCAGTCTCGTGCCTGCACAGTTCCAATCATAGTAACTAGTAAGCAATAAGAAAATGCTCGCTTACATGTTGCAATATTTCCACAATGACACTGGAATGCTAAGGCTACTAACACATTTGAAAGAATTAAAAAAAAAAAGCTACGACGATACCTTGGTGCATTTTCAAACACAACTTTTGGTCTCGGTTTCTTCCTTTCCTTACCTGTATGGTCACTCCCGGCTTCTACTGGTCTGCATTGCATTAAGAAACAGCCCTCGTTAACATACATCAAAGAAAGACGATAGAAAACAGATTTCGCCTATAAGCTAATAAGCGATACTTTGTCAAAACCAAAATCTGTTTCAGTCAACATACTTAGAACCAACACAACATTGTCGTCTGCCATGGGATCCTGAGCCGAAGAACTCTGACCCTCGTGTTTCTCGTCCGCGTATTCTGCTGCTCTGGCACTTTCAGGGTCATAGCTAGGTGGGCGAACGTACATGAAACTCACGGCTTTCATCACCTCGATCTGCGCAATAAGCTCAGGACTCAATCTCATGAAACACAAAACCAAGTAGAAATCACTACTTGACCAAATTTGTAGACTTTGGCATCTGCCTAAGGATCAATTTAAAGAGCTGAGACAATATTTCAAGTGGATTCTGATTGGCAACAACCGGAGTTTCAATCCGGCCTGAGAGTTTATGATACTTTCCAGAATTCGGAACTATAATCATCAGTTACAGAAACTCTAATCCAAAGCATTAGGGCACTTGTGAACAATGTTACTCTGAGAATTAGAGAACCCACAATACTGTGTACTCAAAGCAAGATCTGAATAACATAAACCCTATTCTGACTCAGAAAAAAAAACACTAACCTTCTCTCTTTCTTTCTTCGAGATGAGGCCGCCTGCTTGAAGAACTCCTGCTCTTGCGCAAACTGTAAATCCACGAAAAAGGGGATGTAAGGAAAATACGAATTGAATCATCAATAACACAATGGGGAGATTATTCGAGACCATGTACGATACAGTACCTCACGGGCCACCTCTTCGGCTCTGCGATCGTGTTGGGCGTGAGTCTGCTCGGCGATCCACTTGCGGCGCTGGTTGGGATAAGAAAGCGGGTGCCATGGCTTCTGATTCAGGAACGAGTGGCTCCAAGCGGTACCGGATTTTGTCTTGTACTCGACCTCTAGGCCGCCGGTGACTTTTCCGCCGGCGAATCTCTTGCTCCGCCGTATTCCGCTGCCTTCTTCGCCGTCCATCTCTTTGAGCCGAAATAGTTTTCCCGACCCAGTGCCTTGATAGTTTTGGCCACTGGGCTTTTTGGTTATTTCAGTACTCAATAAATATGATTTTTATACGCCAAATAATAAAGTACGAGAAATATGAACTTTATAAAAAAATGAAATGTGAAAAATCGTTATGTAACCAATTTATTCGCATTAATATTAATATTTAAGCATATGTAATAATAATAATTAAAAAATAAAGTGTTCCCTTATTGGACCCTTTTACTGGCATGTTTAATGTTTTAAGTTGGGTAATTAAAATCTTCTATCTATTAATTGAGAATGTAGTTTAATAAAAAATACTGATTTGTTTTAATTTGATTGGTTAATATGTTTAGTTTGAACAATTTTAATGTGACATGGAAATTATGATGTGTAATGATGATGTAATTGTGACATGTCAGTTTTTAGTACACATAATTTGTGACATGTCAGTTTTTAGTACACATGGCTTGTGACATGGCATTATTTAATCTATAAATAAAATTTGATGTTAAAATTTTGATACAAAATTGAAGTATTGAAATTTTTGACAAAAATTTGGAAAATTTATATTTTTGTCAAATAGATTTGAAATTACATTTCGACACAAAATTTTTGTCAGAAAAATTTACGGATTTCAAGTATTTAGCAGAAAATTTGTGACCTATTTAGCAAAAAAAGTTTGATATTTCCCAAAATCAAATTAAAATACTCTAAAATAAATGTTTTGGTGGGAAAGTTACAATTCATGTTTTTGGCGGAAAATTTCTGAAATCGGATTTTCACAGAAGTTTCTTGAAATTATATTTTTAAATAAGTTTTTTGACGAAAGATATACGGTTTCACTTACATAGCAGGAAATTCGTGAAATCAAAATTTTGACCATTAATTTTTGGAATCAGATTTTTAATGTAAAGTTTTTGGCGAATTTTTTTTATGGATTCACTTTTTGACGAAAAATTCACAAAATCAAAATTTTGATACAATGTTTTTAGCTCATATTTTTGACGTAATTCTTTTGGTGCAAAGTTACTTATTCATGTTTTTGGCATGAAATTTGTGAAATCGGTTTTTTGATAGAAATTTTTGAAATCTTATTTTAATTAAGTTTTTAGTGGAATATTTACAAGTTCAATTGTTTATGTGAAATTTTGCGGCATCGGAGTTTTAGAAGGAGAATTTTTCACTTTTATTATCATCTTATTTTGTCTCACTATAAATAAAGATCAAAAGTTTATATTATATGTGAATGTATTTCAATTAGATAGTAAGAATTACGAATCAGAAATAGGACGTAAAGTGACGGAAAAAACTATAATAAGATGAAAATATAAATAAAAAATAGAAAACAACGAATAACAAAGAATTATTTTATTTTATTTTACGATTTTTTAAAAATATTTTAAGTTTTGTGTATGTTTTATTTTTTACTATGACCCAATTTATCAAATCTATTAAAATATTTTTTCACAAACAAAAATTTCTTACAAATATATTACCAAACAGATCAATTATTTATCTATTATTAATAATTAATTTTTTATAAAATTTTCATACATGTACATATGTGCGGATCAATTAGACTGTAAATAATAAATCGGCTTTCCAAAATAAAATATAAAATATCCACAAATAAATTAGTTACTAGATTCAAAAAACCAATTTAATTAGTATGTATTACCACTTTCTATAAAAAATCATTATTATGCTACCCTGCCCAAGAAAGGAATGTACTTAATAATGCTACCTAATTAAATCTTGCCATTATGCTACTTTCGTCCGTCGATGACTATTTTCCATAATTTTTGAAAATCATGAGTTTAAACATTAATATATTATTGGCCTGCCCAAAAAAGGGACATATTTATTTATTTTTCGAAAAAGGAACGTCTTTACTATTAACTAAATCTTGCCGTAAAAGCCGTCGATTATTTTAAACAGAGTTAGGGATATATAATCCCTTATGCAAGAGAAGAAACAAACAAAAAAACACAGCACCAACAAAACTCTCCCAAAATTTGTCTCCCAAATTTTTTCTCCTTCTCCAAAATTTGTCTCCAAAATTTTTTCTCCCAAATCTTCAGAATGAAGTCCCCTCCCATATATATTTGCCCAGAAGCAAATAGTTCCTGTAGTTACTCTAGTTTAGCTATTCTCAAAATCCCAAATAGTTTGTTTTTTCTTTCAAAATCTGCTCGATCTCATGACTGCATTGGCGATCTCAGACGTCTTCTTCAAACCAAAGTCCGATGAATCGTTCGTACTCCCTATCTTGCTTACAGAAGACCTATTTTCGATCATCCCATCAACTACTCGAAGAGATATCTTTCAGAACGAACCATGGAACCTCGATGGTTATTCTGAGATCCCAGGTTCAAGATCTTAACTCGATCTCTCGGTTTACTTCTCTTTTCGTTGATCGCGTTTTTGATTTAGGATCTCGGCTAATTCTCTATTCGTTGATCCCGTTTTTGATTTAGGATCTCTCGGTTTACTTATCTTTTCGTTGATCCCGTTTTTGATTTAGGATCTCTCCGTTTACTTCTTTTTTCGTTGATCACGTTTTTGATTTAGGTTCAGTTTCTTTTCATTGATTCGTGCTTGTTTTTTGTTACAGTTTTTCTTCCCTATCAGCCACTTCTAGGCGTACAAGTCTGGTCATGGTTCTTCTCAATCACAGATCTGCATTTGGGTATTTCTTTCCCAAAAATGCCGGAGAACTTCAAATGGACGCCTGAATCGCATGAGGAAGTAGGTATCAACGGCCAGAATCTGCTGGTACGTAACATTCGACTCAGATTCTGCGAGAAAGAAAATGAGGAAAGAACTCAAGATGAGCAAAGAACTCAAGATGAGCAAAGAGCTCTGGCTTCTCTCTGGAAAATGACAGAGTACCGTCTTAATCGAAGAAACGTATTTTGCATTACGTTCAAGACTGTCCCTAATCTTGTACCTCCAGGTCGTGCATTCGTAGATAAATTTCAGTTTCTTGGTAAAGTAAATGAAAGGGATCTCGCCAGAGAAAAGAGCCGAAAGCGAAATTTCGCTCGTTTCCTAGCAGATGGAGTTACAGAGCCATCAGTTTGCTGCTTGTGCTGCTCCTTAAGGCTTCCTGACAATGTCACAGGGACAAAGGTAAGCATCAGGTTCTTGACTATATATCTTGTAGTAAGCATGAGTTAAATTCTATCTTCACATAACAAAATGGTCGAAGTAATATAATATTCGTGCTTGACTTAGATATATTTGGTAGTAGCTTAAGTTTGTCGCCTGATTAAAAAAGGCATTAAGACGCAGGCAGATGATTGCAGCGTTGACTTATCTTCTCTGTGTGAGTTTCAGGTTTCCAGATTAGTATACACTAATTCCGGATCTGCTGTACTGGCATTGGCATCTGATGCCATGCACAGGCTCTGGAAATGGCCAAAAACTGAACACAATTTGGCTGGAAAGGTATTTTAGCCTCCTGTGGTTATGATTATTTTGCTGCTTTCCTTTATTTACTCTATGATCACTTATTGGCCGTCCTTTATTTCTTCCAGGCAACGGCTACTGCACCTCCTGATTTATGGGTACCCAAAAGTGGGATTTTGATGACGAATGATGCAAACCCCAAAAAGTCTATCCCCTGTTTTGCTCTCTCAAAAAGCGGCGGTTACCTAATTTCAGCTTCAGGGGGAATTATCTCTGTCTACAACACGATAACATTCAAGGTGAGTATCGTTGTCTTCTTCTCTTTGACAGATCTGTATTATCAGCATTGCTTTTCCTGTTTTCAAATCTATCTTACTTGTCTCTTTCCATATAGACTATGAAGAAGATCGAATTTCCGCCGCCTGCAGCAACATTCTTTGCCTTTTATCCTTGGGACAACAATATAGTTGCCATTGGCATGGACGATTGGTCTATCCTGATCTACGACACTCGTAGTGACAAGGTAATTAATTTGGGTGGTTATAAACCGGAATATAACATAATGACTTAGTTGCGTTTTTTTCTATGCACTCGCCAGGTGCAAGCCAAGTTGAATGGTCATCAGAACATAATAACAGGTCTTGCTTTCTCACAGACTCTGAACATTCTCGTTTCGGCAGGTGCTGATTCGCAGGTATCTGTAGTTGTGTATTGAGTCTAGCTTTTATAATGTGACACTTTAGGTGAAATTTAAGTTAGTTAACATGTTGGTCTGTTGTAGATGTGCATTTGGAGCACAGATGGATGGGAGAAGCAGAGTAGTAAGTATTTGCAAGTTCGAAAGGGAAGAACAATGCCGGCTGTTTCAGAAACCCTTGTGCAGTTCCATCTTGATCAGATTCAACTCTTGGTGGTCGAAGAAAGGCAAATTGCCATTTATGATGCTAAACAAATGGACTTGTTGAAGCAGGTAATAAATAATACGCTCTATTTAACAATGAAACTGGTGTGTATTGCAGACTTATGTTAATGTATAATCAACCCTATGAATGAAACAGTGGTTTAGGTGGGAAGCAAGTGGTCGAATCACATCAGCTACATATTCATGTGATTGCCAGTCAATCTTTGTGAGCTTTGAAAACGGCAATGTCGCTGTCCTCACTGCTTCAAACCTCAGCTTGCGATGTCTGATTGACCCAACAGCCTACTTGGCTACGAACTCGAGGTGACTTTTGCAGATTATTTCTTCTTCATTTATCAATTGTCACATATTATTTACCTTTTGAAATGTGTTGTTTTGCAGAGAATATCCACTCGTGATTGCAGCCCACCCTTCTGATGCTAACCAGATAGCATTAGGTCTGAGTAATGGCTCCGTCAATGTTCTTGAGCCTTCTGAATCTGAAGAAAGGTGGGGCACTGGTTAAATATGGAGATCCCATTGACTGTTTTTTTCGCCTGAATAAACTTTGGCTCATTTCATTTGTTTTCTTTTAAACTGAAGTCTAAAATTTTAAAACCTGGATTGAAACACGGTATGGTGTTCATGATTCTTCAAAAAAAATGGAAATATCTTACTCAATGTTGTTTAGTACGGTCCGTTTACATGACAGGCAGACACGGTACGATGATTCTCTATATACCTTTCACGAAGTAGCGTCTCGTAATTGCTTATCTACGTTGGATTCCACAGAAAGTGTATACATCAATATATAAGCTAAGGTTTGAAATCTTTAAATAGACTTAGCGGCGTCTCTTGATATGAAATGATTAAGTTCACTTTGAATTGAAGTTCAAAAACAGAGAATCAAAGAACCAAAGTATAGAACCCTAAGGTCAATTCTAGAGCATGCCATCAATCACATAATACACATGCTGATATTATAAGGTCTCTAGCGACAAATAGCTAAAGAGATAATTAGTCCTACACAACGGGGTGAAGTATTGCCGATGCTGCGAAATCCAGAAGCTAAGTCTACTGAAGAGTTTGATAGAAACAATTGTCACGAAAACATAATTGAAGAACCTCTCTAGAGAAAGAGCTAAAGAGAAGAACTATTCACAACAGGATGAAGAAATGTCTCATCTGCGAAATCCAAATGATGAAAATGGCATGAAAGAATTAGAGGATGAAAAAACCAGTAAGGAAAAACGCGGAGAAAATGGAGACAACGTGAATGAAGCAACAATAGTCTGTAAACGATTGGGATGAAAATGAAATGGAAGAAGAAGAAGATGTATGGAGACTATGGTCATTACAGTGGAGAAAATATGTCTGATTGGATGTACGAGATGTATGAAGACATATTTTTTGTGTGTGTGGTAAAAGACGTACGTAGTTTCTTCGTGTTCCTCTGTTTTGTCTCTTCGCTTTCCTCTTTTATTTGAATCAAAAAAACAAATTTTTCGTGTTCGTGTTCGAAAAATCTCCGTCATCAAATGGAGTTTTATCTGTTTCCATGCTCTTGTTCTCCTTCACGAAGAACCCTCACGAGAAATGCATCCGAGGAGACAACAACAAGAAGAAGAACAAGAACAACAACAATGTCCGAAACCTACACGTTGCTTTCGAGAAGAATCTCAATGTTTTTGTCAGAGATCATCTCGAAAACTGTAGCGTCTCTGGTGAGCATGGTGATGTTTCCACCAAAGCGGTTCCTGAATGTTCTTCCGATCGTCTTTTTCTCTTCCGGAGCCTTCAATCCCAACAAATCAATCTGTGAGTTTTGGTCTTGATTTTGGTCTATTTTTTCGTGAAATAAGGTTACGTGTCGGTGAAGTAAACGAAGATCTTAACCTAATAAACACAGGAAATGCAGATGATAAGTGATCTCAGGGGACAGATGGAGCGACTTCAACGAGAAGTGCTCGAGCTACGAAATTCGGTTAAATCATGCAAGTTCATTTCCAGAAATCTGTAACGCAAGATCTTTCTCGTTCTGGTCATTTTTATTATCATCATACATTAGCGTTTTAGAAAAAAAAATTCAAGAAATCGAACTAAGCTAATGAATTTACCTTTTAGGCTCATCTGCAGAACAACGAGTAGATACAAATAAAGATCCTCTGAAACGCAAGTGTTGCGTTTGCTAAATCGTGATTTCAAATCGTGATTTCAAATCCCAAACGCTAAAATGATAATAACTGGCGGCCTTGATTTTCTCTGCAGGTGTGGACATATGTGCACGTGCCTGAAATGTGCTCATGAATTGCAATGGAGCAGTAAGAAATGTCCGATCTGTATGGCTCCAATCGTCGACGTTGTGAGAGCGTTTCTTGATTCTTAGGATTCATCAAGAAAACCAAGGATTTTAATTTCTCCTTTAATTCGAAATGTGACGCTGACATATCTGGATATACATGATAAACTCTTTTTGGCTTAATGTGTATTGAGATCGTTACAAAACAGTTTCGAGACTTGTATAATTCAAATTTGCTGCAACACAAATGATAAAATTTTGTTTGCGCTAGGACAACATGATAAAACATTTAATGCTCTGCATAATACTGATAGATATATGCCTTTATGGTGGTGTCTCAGGATTGTAAAAATTCAAGTTTCTTTCGCATTAAGGTAACATTCATAGATTGTCCCAAATTTTTCTAAATTTCAAGTTTCTGCATGAATAATATAGATCTTGCTGGGCTGGGAGAGCATGATAAACCATTCAATACTCTGCTTATTGATGGGAAGAGACAGAAGATAAAGTTTATGTTTCAACCATGATTTCTGAAATTTCAAATTTCTGCTTAAACGGTACATCTTGAATAGTGTCCCAAAATAAGGAAATTCAAACTTGAATCCTCTGATAATTCGACAAGCTTTGGTCTCTGAGGTAAGTTATTCTCTTTATATTACTTCTCCAGTTTTCAATATTATTATTATTTGTTGGCTGCGTAATTTTACTTGATTGTTCAACATTCTATATGATTTCTTTCTGGCATGAAAATCAACTGAACATAACATAAGCACCAGTAAAAAAACTCAAAAAGACCACAAATATTCTACAACACCATAGCTCCACTACTTTATAAAAATCCAACTTTTTATTTTGATGAAAAGTTTAGTTCATCAAATTAAATAATTCTTAGTAATTGTTAACGTCATTAAAATTAGCAAAGCCTATGCTCTATATATGTCCACACAAGACTCTCTTCTTAGTAATTTTTGTTTTGCCTTCTCTAACACAAAATTTCTTTTTCCTTTGGTTGATCATGATTTGATTCTAAAAATTAATTCAATATTTTATAGAAAAATAAATGATGGCTCCATTATTTTTCCCATGTCTTTTGAGAAGGATACAATTACTAATCTTCATCAAGATCTGTATATATTCTTCTTGGCTTAATCAAATCCATACTGTATTAGCTTTGATGTTATGGAACATCATCATATTGTTTTCATCCATGTCTTTCTTGAAATCTAATTATCCCTTTTTGAATTAACTCAAGGAAAGGCTCAAGCGGAGTGAATAATATATCACTCTGGGTAAAAACAGTCCTTTCCCATTATGAGTGGGCTACAAAGACATACATCTTCTCTGCATTTACCGTCTTAGTAAGCACTTTGTATTTTTTTCTCTCGCATCACTTCATAATTTCAGCGAAACAGTCAAGGTTTTTGTCTACTTTGCTTTGACCTCAGACACACATGGCCCTTGATCAGGACCAAGATCTTAGATACGTTAGGTAAAATTAAATTTTCATTGATTTAAGTTTTCTCATTAATACCTGTTTGTGACAACTTCTGTTTTATTCTTTTATCTCTTATCTTTTTGAGACTCAATCCAAAAAACCAACCAAAAAAAAAAAAAACTTGGTGGAGCAAAATTTTGTTGATTCTCTAATTGTTTTGCTGCATTTCAGATCAAATGTTATATATTTGACTTTCTATAAGTGCCGAGTGTTATATGCTTAGCAAAGAGATTTCGGTTCCGAGATTTAAGTTTTGAGCGTTGCTTTCTTGTAAATCAGATCATTGAGATGCTTACCTTTGTGATGAGAAATTATGTTTATGTGTTAAGCGTTGCTTGTAAATTGGACTTGTTGCATATATTCTGACATAACAGAGAAATCTGCAACACTTACTGTCACTACGTTCCACTCTATGCTAAGTACATGATGCATTCATATGCTGGAGTTTGTGTCTGTTACTTACATGCTGGAGTTTTACTTGTCATTACTCATTGCTATATTTAGCATGATGCGTTGCATGAATTAGAGAGATTTCTATAGCATCAGTAATGGAGAGACACTTTAAAAAGTTCTTAAACAAACAAAAATATTATTATTTTAATAAAAATAATTTTTGTAATTAAATTTGAAGTAATAAAAAGAATTGAACTAATAAAAAATTGACATGTGTGAGAGCTTCATTTTTGTGAGTATCCAAAACCTCCTATATAGAAATCGATTCTCAATTATTAGTATGTCACTTTATTATTTTTTTTCTTTTTTCTTTTCATTTTCACTTATGAAATCTATTGGATCTCTCCAATACAGATGCTCTAATTCCTAATGAGTTGATTTCTTTTTCTATTTATATAAAATAAAAATGCGCGTAAGTAAATCTAAAATTTAAAAGATATATTTTCTTCAAAATGGAGTTAAGAAACAAGCGGACTACACAGACTGTATCTTAGAAAATATAGAGTTAAGAAACAAGCGGACTACACAGACTGTATCTTAGAAAATATGGAGTTAAGAAACAAGCAGACTACACAGACTGTATCTATGTAGAGACAAGACTACATGTAAGTTAGCCAAAAGATGAGATTTATTCCGCAGAGAGCTAGAAGCTGCTTCACGTACTTTATTATTGTTTAAGAGTGATACAACCAAAATCAACAATCGTGCTGAGGAATCCTATTTTAATATTTAAATTGATCATATCTGTCCTTTTTTTTATTATTAATCAACATTGATCATGTATGTCAAAAAGATCGTTAGTATGGTCGTTGAGTTTTCGAAGACGTTTTCTTTCCGCGTATATCCGTTGTACGTTTAAAAAGTAAAACGGAGGTTATATACTTAAATATATTGAACGTTGATATTGTTGAACGTTCAATTGAAAAAAAAAATTATACTAATTCTTATTTGGTTTCGGTTAAGTCAAATAAATGAAAGAAAATGGTAGCTGCTGAACCAGTCATGTCTCTTAGTCCTCGATTCTCTACGCGTTTCAGCGTTAGTCTTCTAGATCTCTAGCTTCGTGCACGCCGTTATAAGTCTCTGATCGGTTCGTAAAAATCGAACGGACACCATCGTTTTCTGAGGGTAAAAAAAATGGCGCAACAGTCGTTGATCTACAGTTTCGTCGCCCGCGGGACGGTGATCCTCGTGGAGTTCACTGATTTCGAAGGAAACTTCACATCCATCGCTGCACAGTGCCTTCAAAAGCTTCCTTCTTCAAACGACAAGTTTACCTACGACTGCGACGGTCATACGTTCAGTTACCTCGTTGAAAACGGATTCACGTATTGTGTTGTTGCAGTCGATTCTACTGGGAGTGGGAGGCAGATTCTTCCTATGGCCTTCCTGGAACGAGTGAAGGAGGATTTCAACAAGAGATATGGTGGTGGAAAGGCTGCAACTGCTCAAGCAAACAGCTTGAACAAAGAGTTTGGGCCGAAACTGAAAGAGCACATGCAGTATTGCATGGATCATGGTGATGAGATTAGCAAGCTTGCTAAGGTGAAAGCTCAAGTGTCTGAAGTGAAAGGTGTCATGATGGGAAACATTGAGAAGGTTCTTGACCGTGGTGGGAAAATCGACGTTTTGGTGGTCGAAACCGATATCCTTCGCTCACAGGCGCATGGTTTCAGAACACAAGGAACTCAGATTAGAAGAAAGATGTGGTTTCAGAACATGAAGATAAAACTCATTGTCCTTGCCATCATCATCGCCTTGATCCTCATCATCACCCTCTCAATTTGTGGGGGATTCAACTGTGGCAAATAAGTCTGGAAACATTTCTTCTCCGTCTCCAGAGATTCCCGAGAACATTCATCATTCAGTTTCGTTTTTGTGGGTTTCTAAAATCCTCATCATGCTATGTTTTTGCTTAGATTTGTACTTCTTGAAAATTGGTTATGTATAGGCCATATATAATAATACATATTTGTATGAATATTCTTCATTTTGCAACATTTCTCTTGCTGGTTCCAACACTGATTCTTGCGAGAACCGTCATTTTTTATTATGATAGCGTAGTTTATCCGGTTTATATGAATTTTAACTTGATTGGGTCTGACCGGCTCGGCAAAGAATCCGGATAGTTCTTTAAAACCGGTTAAATAAAATCTTGGTTCGCTCGAAAAAAAAAAGAAAAATGAAAGAAAATGAGGGAAAGGCAATTGAAAGTTGGAACGAAACGTTGGAGAGAAGCCAAGCAAAAAGACATGTTGGGCGAAACGGACAGGTGGATACTGAAAAGAAAGCCACGTCTCCCACAGATGTTGGAATCTTTTATATAACGAAACGGCGTTACTGAAACGTACACAAAAATAAATACGAGAGGAAAAAGCCGTCGTAATTCATTTTCTTTTTCTGAAACGTCTTCCACTTTTTTTAAAAATGATTAAGACCTTGATTGTAAAACGACAAAAAATTATTAAGCCGAAAGCCTGAAACTACAAAATAGTGGTAACTAAAAACGACGTAAACAATTTGAGAAAGCTGTATAGCTTTATATAGATTGTTGGATATATATATTATTGGCCGCTAATAATAAGTTGTTATAAATACTTTTTGTTGTTAGTAGAGATGACTTTGGCGTTTAGCACATGTCTAACTTGTGATTTTGTAGAATGAGTAGGTGTTGTTTTCAAATGCATTATTAATTACTTTGATTCCACAAATTATACACAAAACATGGGGAATCGGTAGTTAGGAGGACCGTTTGGTAATCATTTTTCTTTTAATTTGGCAATTAGGTGTTCGATCTCTCTTTCTTTTCTTCTGATTAATAGAAGAAAAACAAAATAATTACAAAACATATTCTCAAAATCTTTTTCTATGACCTTCCCTTCCCTTCACTATACGGTTTCCTTTCCTTATGTGACGTCTGCAAGTCAAAATAATACTACAGAGGAAAGAGCATTCGGAGAGACCATAAAAATACTTTATTGAAAATACAAATTATGTCGTCAAAAACCTTCAAATAATTGGACCGAGCAAGCTGAATTATATTTTTGTACTCAGTATATATATATATATATACTTTTTGTTTAATTAGGATTTATTTCGTTTTTCTTTAGCTAACAAAGAACGAATTCACAAAATAAACAATCATAGCTAAATGAAGAAAAAAAGAACACTCCTAGCTAAAATCTGCCCTCTGCATAGAAATGTTTTGTTGCTCTAGTGATATGGATTCGGTGTTTTGTCTAATTTATAAGTTGGTTTCATTAACCCTTCTCTGTTACTAATTTTTTTTTTTAGCATATTGGGGAAATATCATAGAAATTGCGTTTCCTTGAAATTTTATTTTAGGAAAAACATAAATATACACGCAGCCGCAGGTAAGAAGACAAACAAGGACAGGTGTGTATACACAAAAGATACAGAATAGAATAGAAAGCGACTCGACTCGCCGACTCGTTGAAAGACAGAGAGAGAGAGAGAGACAGTGGCAGAAATCTATTCATCTCATCTTCGTCTTCCTTTTTTTCATCTTCTTCTCTGATTCGAGAGTCAGATCCAGTAGTGAAGAAGAGACGATTAACCGCCATGGTTATTAGAGAGAAAGAGCAAATCCCTACTAAGGAGAAGAAGCTCCTCGTCGGCGTCATATGGAACTTCTCCGCAGAGCTCAAGCTCATTTTCATGGCGTTTATCGTTTTATGCACTTTAGCCACTCTCTTACCTTTGATACCTTCTTCATTCTCTCTCTCCGCCTCCGATTTTCGCTTCTGCATCTCACGCTTCTCCCCCGCCGTTCCCGATAACACCACATCCACCTCCGTGGAAGAGTTACCGGAAATCACGACGGAGAAGACCACGGTGGAGCTAGATCGAGTGTTGGATAACGGCGTTATCAAACGGTCGTTTACTGGCTACGGCTCTGCAGCTTATAACTTCGTCTCCATGAGCGCCTACAGAGGCGGCGTTAACACTTTCGCCGTCATCGGCTTGTCGTCGAAACCCCTCCACGTGTACGGCCAACCTTCTTACCGCTGCGAGTGGGTCCCTCTCGACCCGACTCAGGACCCGATTTCTACAGACGGGTTTAAAATCCTAACCGATTGGGGATACGGACGGATCTACACGACCGTCGTCGTCAACTGCACATTCCCATCAGTCGCCGCCGTGAATCCCGAAAACTCCGGCGGAAACCTCATCCTCCACGCCACCACCGGAGATCCAGACCGAAACCTCACCGATTCGATCCCAGTCCTAACGGAACCCCCAAACTCCGTCGATTTCGAGCTATACAACTCCACATCTCGTCCTAAAAAGTACGATTACCTCTACTGCGGCTCGTCTCTCTACGGGAACCTAAGCCCGCAGCGAGTGAGGGAGTGGATCGCGTACCACTTGCGGTTCTTCGGCGAACGGTCGCATTTCGTGCTCCACGACGCCGGAGGGATTCACGAGGAAGTGTTCGAGGTCTTACGGCCGTGGATTGAGCTCGGGCGCGTGACGGTGCACGATATCAGGGAACAAGAGCGGTTCGATGGGTACTATCATAACCAGTTCATGGTTGTAAACGATTGCTTGCATAGGTATAGATTCATGTCCAAGTGGATGTTCTTCTTCGACGTTGACGAGTTTATCTACGTTCCTCCGAAGAACACGATCTCCTCGGTTATGGAATCCTTGGAGGAATATTCTCAGTTCACTATTGAGCAGATGCCGATGAGTAGTAAGATCTGTTACTCCGGCGACGGTCCCGCGAGAACATACAGGTAAGATCATAGTCTCACAGTAATTTTAGATTAATGGGTAGTTAGTTTATTAACTAGATTTTGATTGTTAACAAGAAACAGTGGTTAGGATGATGCTTGTTATGTTTGCCCGCGACTCTTGTCGGTCTACTGATTGAAACTTTAACCAAAACCCATGTGTGTGGTGATGTGTTGAGTAACTTAGAATAAAATCACGAGTCTTTGATTGGCCTTTGGAATATACTAATAGTATATAGAACAAGCATCTGATTCTGTCAACACTTGGCCTGCAAAAGTCTTTGAGCATTCCGTATTAGTCTCCCATGTCGGTCCAGATCTTTGCTGTTATTTCACTTCACATGATTAGAGTGACAAATGTTCCAAAGTTTCTATTACTTATATCATTCCTCAAAATTAACATGTGTCAAATTTTAGATCCGGGTTTTGGTTTGCACTTTTTTTTTGTTTAACCAAAACTCTAATGTATTTATGTTTTGTTCAGTTTTCATCTTCATTAATTAGTTTTTTTTCTCCTTTTGTGGATCGGTTCGAGTCAGATTGGTTCCATTATCAAGAATGAACATCATTTCCTTAATGGTTTCATGAAAGAGACAGAGAAGTGATTTGATCTCTAAATGCTATTTTCCTTGTATGTTTCCAGGAAATGGGGATTTGAGAAACTGGCATATAGAGACGTCAAGAAGGTTCCAAGACGAGACCGTAAGTACGCGGTGCAGCCGAGTAATGTATTCGCGACGGGAGTTCACATGTCTCAGAATCTACAAGGCAAAACATACCACAAGGCAGAGAGCAAGATCCGTTACTTCCACTACCACGGCTCCATCTCTCAGCGCCGTGAGCCTTGCCGTCAACTTTTCAACGACTCTCAAGTTGTTTTCGAGAACAATCCTTACGTGCTCGACACTACGATCCGTGACGTTGGCCTCGCCGTGAAGACGTTCGAGATGAGAAAGATCGGTGACCGGCTGCTTCGGACTCGGCAATGAAAATATAGTATAGTTAAGAAATGAATTGTGAATGTATTTTCCTCGTTAGAAAGAATTAGAGTTGTCAAGATGGGTCAGATGTTTACTTTTATTGTTTTTCTTTTGGGGTATTCTTTTATTGTATCATAATTTGGGTATGGGTTCATAAATATAGCATAAACTCTTCTTTGGTATAGCATTTCTGTATGGATTAGAAAAAAAGGTTTCTTTTAAGTATATAAAATTAGTAAGAATAATTGCGGAGAAAGATCTCAAACGGCATAATTAATCGGAGGGAATAAGTTATTACTATTTTAATTATCGACAAAAGAAGAAAGCTTTTTGCTTTTGGAGGTCAGGAACGTGCGTTTAAGCTTTTCTTGACGACCACCGAATGGGCCTAAACGTGTAGGTCCCACGTAAGAAGGAACATATGGGACCCACGTTTCGTGGTTGTTAAATCTCACAAGTCGCAGAGGCTAGAAAGAAAGCGGTCGTTGCACTAGACTACAAGTGTTCCATTATATCATATGACTATTTTCCTAATTAATTTTGTTTGTCTTCTGCTTACATATATATGCGGTGTGAAAATCACAGACATTTTACGTCTGGACCTACACAATTATTTTCCTAACGATTCATTTTGAAAATTAGATTAACATCGTTATCATTATGTCTATTTTCCATAATGACTTGAAAAAGGCTGAAATCTATTACTACACAAAATATAAATGTCTAGAATCTTTTTGGTTTTCCTTGTCACAACAAGAATTTAAACGAAATTCAGTAAACACAAATATTACCGTATTTTAGGAATTTTTATTTTATAAAAGATTTTTTTGTAGGAATTTATAATTTAGGTTTAGGGATGCTCACCGACGGTACGGCACCAGATCATCACATTCTAGCACCCTACCATTTCCTGATTTTCCACATCAATATGTTCAAATCTTTTTTTGTTTTTGCCAAAAAAAATGTAGTACTGTAACTGTTGATGGTAACGGGTTATCAATAAATGTATACGTGTGTGTGTATATATGTATCATGTCCAAACACAGGTCCAATTTAATGTCAAATTGTTTGATGGTCATTTTTGGTTATAAATTTAATATGACGCTACGGAGATTATTAATAGAATGTGGCTGAGGCTGCATGAGCATCTCTGCAAGCTGCAATATTCTCTGAAAACAGAGAGTTTTATTTACTCCTATTTAAAAAAGTTCCTTCACGATCCAATCTCCAAGTATTCAGTAAACTTAACACATCAATTTTTTTGTTGTCGGTTCATATAATAGTATAAGGTTTGGAATGGTTACGGACGGTTGTTGAAATAATGCTGTTGATTGAAGACTATTGTAGTCACTGCAAATTAAATGTGGTTGATGTGGTCATCAATACGGTTAACTTACAGTTCAAATATGTTGCAATAATTAAAAGTATTCATCAAACATAACATATTTTGATTAAATTGTTTTTATTGCCACATTTGGATTTCGCAAGGATTCGAGTTTTAATTTCAATAATAAATAAATTATAATGTAAAGTAATAGTATTTTTTTGTCAATCATATATTTCAATTCTGAAAATTCGACAGAATGTTATAACAACTTGTCTATTTTTGGACACGGCTGTTAATAGCTTTACGAATCTTAAAATAATACTCCCTCCGTTTTATATTATAAAATATATGATGTTTTAGATTTTTTTTGTTCAAGAATATATGATGTTTTCTTTTTTTATGTAAAAAGTGATATAAAATGACATTTTTTACCTTTCTATTATTAAGATAATTTTTAATCCAAAAACATATTTTTTAATTAATAAAAAAGTTAAAATAAGTATTTTACAAAAAAATTTAATTTATGTGTCCAACCCTAAAACATCGTATATTTTAAAATGGAGGAGTATGAAAATATGAGTAAATAAATCATATTGGAAATTACCCAATATATTACTTTGTCGCATATCCCAAAGATAAAAGAAAATGAATCACTCCTTTTTTCACTTTTCCTCTCGTGTATTCGTTTCTTTACAACTGGAAAAATGATAATTCTCTCGAATGGCAATTGCTACAAAAATTTCAGCAAGAGTAGGTTAAATATTTAATTTAGTTAACTTCATTCGAGTAGACACAATATTAAATAAAAAGAAAAAAAAGAATAGTTAAGCCCTCTCATTTAATATTATTCACACGGCTTGAGCTTCCAAGAAACTACTGAAATCCTCGGTGGCTTGTAGCAACCGTGGCGTGATTGAATGTGTCGGCGACGTTGGATAAGAAACCGGCGACGAAGTTGAGAACCGAACGTGACGTGGCGACTCCATGGATCTTCTAGATTTCGAACCAGAAGTCTTCAAAACCCCTTTGATTTCTTTCTCCAAATTAGGTTCCTTGTCAAACACGAAAGCCGCTGAAACAGGATCGTCTTGATCGTTTCCGCCGGGACCGCCTTTGATCAATTCGGAAGGTAAGTCGAAGAAATGGCCACCAAGATCCGCATTGTCGTCGTAAATCATAGCCGAAGAGGTCCATGAACCGCACTCGAACCGCTCTAGCGAGGCTCGAGCCGAGAGCACCGTAGTGTCTCTAATGGAAGCGGTTCTTGCCATAGATTGAGTAGAAGTCATCGTGGTGGTTCTAGTAAACGAGGAGTCGCCTTTTCGAGATGATCTCACGGGTTTTCCTTTGCTGAAACCAGGTAAGTAGAGACACAAGGCGCTGCATTTGAATCCGTCTTCGAATGAACTGATGCCTTTCGAATTCGCCGTATTGATGTTGCTTCTGTTGCTTTTGTTGGACTCTGTTTTTGAGAAGAAAGAGTTGTTTCCACTACTCTTGTGAGAGAAGCTCTTGGAGTTTGAGGAAGATAAGCCATGATGATGATTATGATGATGTTGATGATGATGTTGTTCATTTTTCGATTTGTGCAATAGCATGTCGAAATCGAGCGACGGCGTGAAAGCACGTCCTTCGCCGCAAGATTTGCTTCTTTGAAACGCAGCGGCCGCGTCTTGAACAAGCATTAGGTCAAGAACTTGCTCAGTGGTTCTGTTCTTCCAGTTGTGACTGTGTCTAGGTGACGTGGCTGCTGAGTTTGGGAGGCTGCAGCTCATAAACTTCGTCTTCATTTGATGATCCAACGGCTGAGACGAGAATGCGACGTCGTCGTCGTCGATGTCTCTCGGACGTGAGATTATCATGTCGAAGCTCTCGTTAGATCTTGACAATAGCGATTTTGGATCAACCGAGATTTGTCTCTCGGAATCGGATTGCATACTCGTCTTCTTGATCAGAATCTTGGGCTCGTCTCCACGGCCTAGAACCTCAAAGTCATGCCAATCCTCTTGACTACTATCGTCCCTGAAGCTGAGAACCTCTGTCGCCATTTTTGTTTTATGATCTTTGGCCTGAAAATGAGTGAGGATTAATTTTTAAAAAGACAATATTGGGAAAAGGCTAAAACTGAGTGATTGATACTTAAATACGGAGCAGGATGGGTTGCACGTCGGTGACTAGTTTAGTTTATGACTCGCACGTATTATATAATATAACCCAAAGTGTTGTTGACTCAATCTTCTAAAGAAAGGATAAAATATATCGGCTAATATATTCCAATGTCGTTGACATGAGACAATGCCCAAGTTTAAGACAAGATCAAAAAGATAGATCTGCCTGCACGAACTACCTAATTATAATATTATTAAAGTGATTGAATGCTAATTTCCTCCATCAGTAAAGACCATAATTAAGACAATGAGATAAAAATGATAAGCACTGAATATATTATTTTTTCTTAAATAGTAATTGAATTAGTGAGGAGGACTTCAAAGCACACTTAACTGCTTCCACCCAAGGCTGGCTCCTGTTGTAAGTGGATAATTTGTTTGGAACAAGAGATTTTTACTAGAAGGAATAAAACGAGATTAACAGAACATAGTTACATCAAGAGAGAATCCATTAGATCCCAAATGTTACAACTCAAGAAAGAAAGAAAAAACGCCACGAATTATTGTAGAATGCATAAGTAGTGAATCAAAGCGAAGATGGCAAGGCAATTAGAGGAAACTTGCGGCAAACTTCCATACCAGTAGATTCAGCTAGATGGTATTGCTCATCATCTCCTACTGTTCTAACTTCGAATTCCCAGTCGAATCGATTCACTAAGTTGGCCAATGTCACCTCGACCAATGCCATCGTAAACCCTATTCCGGGACATAGTCTTCTCCCTGATCCGAATGGAATGTACATGAAATTCTGTCCTTGAAAATCCAAAGTCGAATCTAAATGTCTCTCTGGTTTAAACTCTTCAGCATCAGGTCCCCATGTTGCAGTATCTCGTTGGATCGCCCATGCATTGATAATCACCTACGTTAAGTTAATATTTTTTTTTCTTTTTTTTTCTCAAACTTGTATATAAAGAAATATGATTTTCTGTGTACCTGTGTACCAGCCGCAATGTCATATCCCTTTAACTTGACGTCTTCGCTTAATAGCCGAGGAACCAAAATTGGAGCGGGTGGATGTATCCGGAGAACCTCTTTAATCACAGCCTTTAAGTATTTCATATTTTCAATTTCTTCTTCCGATACGTAAAAGTTACTCTTTGAATGTGTTCGGATATCTTCTTGTAGCTTCTTCATAGTTTCTGGATGTCTTATAAGCTCAGTCATTGTCCACTCTAAGAGTGCGGAAGTTGTTGTTACTCCTGCTACAAGCATATCCTGAAAAGAATTTAAGCACAACATTAATTTTCATATACTTTGAGTAGGTGAGCAAAGTACGTAGTAATAAGAACCATTTTATCTGAATAATTTTTACATGGTACACTACCGAGATACGACCTTGAAAAAGTAAACAGTTATAAGAACGAGGAACGCATGGTCTTACAAAAATAATGAGCCTGATGTCTTGTCTATCAATCTCAAATCCATTTGGCTTCTCTTTTTGGATCCATAACAACATATCAACCAAATCAGATTTCTCTTTATCATCACCTTCACCTTCATGTCCTTGCACCACATTTTCCAAAAAATCGAATAATGGTTTGAGTACTTGCTCGGCTTTGTGATCTAAGCCCCGGATTGTATCTATCCATGCCAAATACGGAATGTAATCCGCCAATGGGAATACACTGACAGTATCTATCAGTTCCCTAACCATCTTCTTGACATCCACTGTGTTTTTTTCACCGCTATATTGGCGTCCCAAAGAAACTCTACTTACCACAGTGTTTGTAAGAGTAAAGATGGTCTTACTCAGATTTATAGATGAAGAAGAAGAACTCGCTTTCTCGACTTTCTCCATCATTATATTTATCTGTTCTTCTCGTAACTTTTCAAAAGACCTGACCATTTTATTTCCCAGGAGATGGAGGACGCATAAACCCTGCATGCACCCGTATCATATTTTTGTTTTAATAAAAATAAGAAACCAATCAATTAATTGAAACTAGATCTAGTATCAATTTTTTTTGTTAATTACATAATTTTTTTTTATGTTAAACCAATCAATTAATTGAAACTAAACTTTATTCAGTTTTGTTTTAACATGTACTCTAAGGATCTAGTATAATGAAGGATCTAGTACAAAAAATTCCATTTGGAGCATCCCATTGAGATTTATATTAGCGATATTAGCAAGTAAAATTTTAATTGTTTATATTCTTCATTTAAAAAAAAAAAATTTGTTATTCTTTTAAGTTTTTAACTAGCACACTAAAACCAAAGCAAAACCATTATCTTTGAAACGGATCATATAGAAGATTTGGGAAGAAGAGACAATCTATTAATTAATTTCAGGCTTTGGAAAATAATCAGAGAAAAAAATGAAAAACCTTCATCTGCCTCCAATATTCTCCGTACGAGGAAAAGACCACATCTCTCCCACCTTTCAGAATTGTGTTGGTCGCTTTTCCAATGGGACGGTTGGCAAACTTAAGATCGTGTGTTTTCATGACTTCATGAGCTATGTCGGCTGATGAGACTATGAGGACAGGGACGCGGCCAAAGTGAAGGAGCATGAGTGGCCCATGACGAAGGCTGAGGGAACGGAGAGAGCGGTGAGGGTGAAGGCTCAGCTGGTGGAGGTTTCCGATCACTGGAAGCCGCCATGGAGACGGCGGTAGGTTAACTTTGTTGGTGGCCGTTCGATTAAAGATTCGTTTTAGCAAGAAAAATGCTAAGAGAGTTGTTAAGCAAAGAGAGATTAATATCATTTCCATTTTCTTGATTTGAGTAACTCTTCCCTCGACTTGTATTTTAGTATATAGAATTTCTATTAATATCGCATTAATTATTTTAGCTTGCAAGCCTGGCATGCATGTAACGTGGTGTGATTTGAATATTCTACCTAAGCAATGTGTTACGATGACAAGTGACAATAAACGCTTCCCACCAAAAAAAAGGTGACAATAAACGTTTATGAAGTCAACTTTCTTCCGATAGTATTTGATGTCCTACATAAATCTAAAAAATATACTTTTTATATATTATATTTGATATCACAAAAATTAGAAAAAATTATAGTGTAAACTTCATAAAAAAATCATATTCTAAACAAACAATCTCAATTTATAAATGATTCATAAAAAATAAAATAAAAACAGTAAAAACAAATACTGTATGTTGAAAAAAAAATAATACTCTTTGCATTTTTGCTTGCAAAATCATTCATCAAACTAACATAATCTACTTTTCCAATCATAATTATTTTAATCAATAATAAAATCAACCCATTCAATCTCTTTTCTGATTTCGTACATGGCAAATCATTTTTCATCAGGTTTAATTTTTAAAAAACAAATTTTTCAGTAGTGGCAACCGATACAAAAATAATCAACAAAATACAACAAACAATTTTGGTATTTGTATAACAATCTTCTATTTTTTCAAAAAATCAAACACTTCATTAGGCTTCTAAATTTTCTCTGGTATTGATATTTGATATTAATACTTTGTGTAACAATCCTCCATATTCAGAATTTAGTTAATAAAAATAACACTAAACTTAATTAGTATGTTTGCTAATAAAAATATCATAAAATTGCTAACAAAAACTTCTATAAAAATTATTATTATAAAAAAATATATATATTATCACATTAATTGAGAACCAATTCTAATAAAGAAAATATTTAAAGAAAATGCCTCTAAATAACAGATATTAATAAGAAAAATATTTTAAAATGATGCCCTTAAAATTTAGCTGCCCTAATCTTTTGCTCTGGGAAAGGGGAAAGAATTATCCTTTTACTCATGTGAAGCTTTAAATCATTGTGGAATATTGAAAGACTTGCAAAATGTATCTAACATTAAAAAAAAAATTGTTTTTATATTTTACTTTCTTTTGTATAACTAGCTAGAATTCTAATATTACTTGGGCCGTAACAAGGCCTATAAAAACAAATGTCTATCCAAATTGTACTTCTAATCGAAAACTGTTTTATAAAATTTTGTCTAAGGAACGAAAATGTAATTTGTTAGACATCATATAATATATAAAAGTTGATGGCATAGTGCATCAAGGGCGTCCACATAGGATTAAAAAACTCGATTTGATTGGTTCACATCAGCATATTCATTAAATAAAAATGTTAAGTATGATTATGACAGAAAAACTTGATTTAAGTGGTACACATCAGCTCTTAAATCAAACAAAAAACTATTAAGTATAATTAAAATATTAAAAGTTAATTTAACAAATTATGTCCAACAAAAAAAGTAAATTCAATCTGATTGATCTAAACCAACATATTTATTAAATCAGAAAATGTTAATATGGTTTAAAATTTTAAAAGTTAAATAAAAAATTAACAATTAACAAAACATGTATAAAAAGTAATCATTATCAAATATCAATTTAAAAAATCTACAACAACTTAATTTAACAATTAAAACAATGAAAACTGAATAAAAATATGACATAAAACTCTTGGAAGACAAGATGGAGAAGGAAAAAATGGTTTTACATGATCATTATAGCTTTCTAACAAAACTAAATACGAATCAACATGAATCATGGTACACAACATCAATAGGACTTTCAATAAAAAAACTAAATATTTGAACACATAAATCTTCAAGAAAAAAAAAAGAACTATAGAAATTCTATGGAAAACAGAAAATAATACCAAAATTTTAGCAAGATTATATTTCTCTAAATCAAATGTATATGTACATCAAAGTTGGATAATTTGATAAGTGTCATTGTTATTATTTTACCTAATAGTTTTTATGAAATTATAAATAAAAATAGGATAAATTACGCATTATATATTAAATTCTCTTATATAAATGAAAATTTATATAAATATATATAATTTTTAATAATTTTAAAGATGGTAGCTAAAAAAGATAACCAAAATATTAATACAGACTCGTGCGTAGCTCAAGTTATATACCTAATCTATAAAAATAAAAACTTAGGTAGATTTCTTTTTTCCATATGATTAAGGAATTGGGTTATAAAAGGGTTTGTACACTCACAAGTTTTTTTGTTTCCGATCACAAACTAAATATTTGTGTGACACCAAAATACTGTATGGCTTTTTCTTTTGACCTAGCAGTCATCTCCCAACGGAGAGAGAGGAAGAATGGAGAGGGGAAGGAAGGCAATAAGAAGAAGACGAAGAGAAGAAATATGCAAGAGCCACGAAGCTACACGAGAGAATATTCCTGTTGATATCGTGATAGAGATTCTCACGAGACTCCCTCCTAAATCCCTTATGAGGTTCAAATCAGTGTCAAGGCTTTGGTCATCCGTTATTTGTTCGCAATATTTCACCAACCGTTTCCTAAAAGCTTCATCGCCGCCGCGTATATACTTGTGGCTCGGCTTCGGCAGCAAACGTGTATTACTATCGTCGTCGGCTTCTCCTGACTCGGACGGTACTGTTACTATGTCATCCTTTGTCGTTGGCCAAGATTTGACCATCCCAGCGATGGAAGGCTACCACGTCTCTCACGTTTTGCGCGGTTTGATGTGCTGTACAAATAGAAAAAGTGCGCAGATATACAACACTACCACTAGGCAGCTTGTTATCTTACCCGACATAGAAGAATCCAACATCATAGCTGAAAATCACGAGTCTAAGAGGGTCGTGTACCGCATCGGACACGATCCTGTTCTTGATCAGTATAAGGTGTTTTGCACAGTCTCAAAACGCGGCAGCGACAGAGTTGGTGGAAAGTTAGTAACATGCATGCCAGAGCATTGGGTCTTGCTACTAGGAGAAAGAGATGTATCAAGTCGATGGAGAAAGATTCCAAGCCGATGCCCACCACATCATGTTTTAAGACAAGGATTGACTATCAATGGGCGTATGCATTATTACCTCGCTTTATCTCTTCTGTCTTCTTTTGTGCTTGTGAGTTTCGATATTAGTTCTGAAGAAATATGTATGCTCCAACCACCTATAAATCGGCTTCCTCTATTTATTAGTCTTATAGAATGCAGTGGAAGAGTAGCTAATTTAGACCATCTCGATCTTGAAGAGAAGGGTGTGATGAAACTATGGGTTATGGAAGATGCAGGGAAGAATAGGTGGTCGAGGAAGACGACTTTGGTGTTGCAGCCTTCTGATATGCATATGGTCAATATGCATATGGTCGATAACATGGGATTGAGGGTACAAGGTACAACTAGAAACGGTGAGGTTATCTTTGTTCCTGAAAATTCATACGGTACTCGGACCGGCAAGATTATCGTCCAACCACAAAATACAACTCTTTTCTACGTTTTCATTTACAATCTAGAAAAGAATCATATGAGAAAAGTTGATATCAAAGAAACATCAAACCGCTATCTCACCAGAAAATGGGATGTTGTTGGATTTGATGACACTGAGAACTTGATGTATCTCTAAACGCTTGTGCGTTTTTTTTTTTTTTGGTTTGGGAACATTTTATTTAACTTTGTATGGGTGTGTTTCTTTGTTCTTCGTTATGCGCTACCGGTGTTCCTTTTTTTGTCAAAACACCAAGGGTGGAAAAAGAAAAACCTAACCGCAGTACCAAACCAAATCAGAATTTATCAATCTCCTACCGAACTAAATTTTATGCTTACCTGATCGTGAATAATGGAAAAATTCTTATGGTATAAACCATACAAAACCTCAATCAATCACAAATTTGTACTATCAAACTAATATACATATTTTTGTTTTCTATTTATATATTTGTATTAGAAACCGACCCAACCCCTAAATCTAACAATAAATGAATTTTATTGTTTATTATATAAAATTCATCAAAGCCAATTGTATTTTACTATGTGCTGGTTTTTCTTGATATTATCTCTATCCATTCTTCGAATGTAAGAGACAAGAAGTTTCCTTTTTTTTGTGTGGAGAAGCTCTTACTATGCAATTTACTTCAAAACAAATTCTGATTTTTTAAAAATAACTAAAAGTTTTGAACCAATTAAAATGTGGCATATATTAAAAAAGTATCTCATAAGATAAAAATGGCTTCTCAATTGAGGATCGTTTCTCTTGCTAATTCCTTTTTCAATTTTTTCGTTTTTTAGATACTGCCGGTTTTACAGTATTTGATGTCCTACACAAATCTAAAAAATATACTTTTTTATATATTATATTTGATATCACAAAAACTAAAAAAACTACAGTGTAAACTTCATAAAAAAATCCTATTCCAAACAAACAATCTAAATTTATAAATGATTCATAAAAAATAAAATAAAAACAGTAAAACCAAATATGTTGAAAAAAAAAATAGTACTCTTTGCATTTTTGCTTGCAAAATTATTCATCAAACTAACATAATCTAGTTTTCCAACCATAATATTTCAATCAATAATAAAACCAACCCATTCAATCTCTTTTCTGATTTCGTATATGGCAAATAATTTTTCATCAGGTTCAATTTTTTTAAAAAAAATCTTTCAATAGTGGCAATCGATACCAAAGTAATCAACAAAATGCAACAAACAATTTTGGTATTTGTATAACAATCCTCCATTTTTTCAAAAAATCAAACACTTTAATAGGCTTCTGAATTTTCTCTGGTATTGATACTTGATATTAATACTTTGTTTGTATAACAATCCTCTATATTCAGAAATTAGTTAATAAAAATAACACTAAACTTAATTAGTATGTTTGCTAAAAAAAATATCATAAAATTGCTAACAAAAATTTCTATAAACATGAATATTATAAAAAATTTTTATATATTATCACGTTAATAGAGAACTAATTCTAATAAAGAAAATATTTTAAAAAAATGCCTCTAAATAACAGATCCTAATAAGGAAAATATTTTAAAATGATGTCCTTAAAATTTAGCTGTCCTAATCATTTGCTTTTGTGCCTTAGCCTATGGGCCGGTTCTGACTTTCAATCTTAATTAGTCATTGTGTGAACAACTCCTCTTTGTGGTGATTATTTAAAACCGGATCGTACTTTTCTTTATATATACTTATTTAGAAGAAACAAATAACAAAAATGCCTTAAACGAAGAAAAAATAGCTTTCCATTTATTTTTTTTATTTATATTTTATTTAATTTTATTTTTAAATTTCTACTGAAATATTATATTTATATAATATTTTATGATTGTTGTACAGTATTAATGTATGTAGTATTTTATCTTCTTGTTTGGTCGAAATTGAAAAACTTTATTACCTTTTCGAAAAGATTATTAAGATTTTCATAAATTTCGTCGATCTACTACTGATATACATAGACCTATAAATAGCATAGTGGATATATGAAACTCACTGATTAATCCCTAGCCAAAAGTATTTCAACGTAGAAGAATAATATATTCATATTAAGTAATAATCACTCGTAGTTTAGTACGCAAATCTTCATGAAGATCCTGGGCTACGTTTCATATACAATTTGAAGATGTTATCAATTTAAACAAAAGAAACACGTCAAAACCCAAATAAAAAAAAAAAAAAATAGGGAACCAAAGGAAAAATAAAAACAGAGTAGACCCCAAAAGTATTTCAACGTAGGATCTTTTATCTTTACATTCATATCAGGTAACAATCACTAAGTATAGTAGCCTGTAAATATAGTTTAATGTTTTACGACCGACTGAGTCCAGTTACACGAAGCTAAAGCTTAGAGAATAGAACCTATCGATCTCATAATCATAACCAAAATCAAAATGAACATTATCAAAAAAGTCACCATAAGCCTTGAGAAACGAGCTTCGTTTCGCATGAATTTGAAGATGATGCCAGCTTTGTGGCCCTGATCTAAATCACTCCTGATTCGGACCAGAACGATGTCACCAGCGCTAATCCAAACCTTGTTGTACAAGCTACCTCTGATGCGACACATCCTTGTGACTCCGTCTATGCACTTTGCATTGCACCGTCCGTTTCCGAGCATACGGAGAATTTGAGCGTATTCTTAACCGTCTTCTTTGAATATGAGTTCTCGTTTACGTACTGTTTCGTTTTTCCCTCTTTCTATTCTTTCCTCATTTTCCTTTGTTCTTCGGCATAATTGTTAGAGATGAGATCCGTACCGTTTCTAACAAGCCCGATACAAACTCTGGTCGGCCCGTCTAACAAATTCCAGCAACATAAAAGGAATTTTCCATTTATCGAGTGACCCAGGGAAAAAGGAAACTCCTTGTCGACAAGAGTTTCCTATTCCAAGCAGATTGAAGACCGACTGATCGGCTATAAATATAGGAAGTCCTCGACTCCTCAATTCATTCAAAAAATCATCTATCGAGACCTAGGGCAAACTAAGCAATCTGATTGTTCTAGCTTTCGATTTACTTTCCATAAAAATTTAGATCGGCGTTCTTATTCTGACGACCTAAATCTCGGTGTATTCATTCAAACTCCGGCTCGGCTTCTAATAAAAAGACCTATTTAAACCCACAAACCATAATTCTTTCGTAGATCGAACTTGAGTTTTTACAATGATCAAATAGATAATGAATTCTGATCAGAGATATATTAAACAAAAAAAAAAATTGTTTTGTTTTTTCACATAGAAACCGGTTGCAACTTGCAACTCAAACTATTATATACAGAATCAAAGAGATGTGCTGACAAAAAAAAAAGAGATATATAATATGGACCGTGTAAAGACTTAATGAGCTCGACTAAATGGGCTTTATATGTTCATGTCCTTCTATGTTTAACATGAACAAAGGACTATCGATCGAAGCCTTTAATTAAAGACACAATACCGAAATAGTAAGCCGAAGGTAACCAAGTCCAACTTAAATGTTAAATGACAAATAAATAAAGCTCTGCATCTTGTCATTTCCAAATGTCGAATCATCTTCTTTTACTAATCTTCTTTATATAAAAAGGATAGATTTCCTGTTCTCTAAGAGATACCATATAGGCAAAAATAATCAGCCAATAAAAATATAACAAATTGTCATATCGTTAAATTATAAAAAAAAATTAAGCAATAAGAATAAGACAATATACCACATCAACAAAAAAAATTAATCAATAGTAGATTTCAAAACTGCTATGTCATCTTCTCCAACCAATAATTTAAAGTCATTTTATTAAATAATTTATTAATCAATTTTTCTTCAAATTTTATCTAAAAAAACTTTTCTAATTCTTAAATTCTCAATAAAAAAATAAAGCTAAAAAAACTGAAAACGAATTACACTAAAACTCAATTATAAAGCTTAAATAAAAGCTTATTTTATAGAGTCATCGTCTTCTCGATTTCTAATCATCTCGCCTCTGACTCACCAGAAATAGAATCAGCTGTCACTAAACACAAATTTTACTTATTAATTAATGACAACCAAACTGGTGATAAACAATAAAACTTAAATAAGTGGAGCATAAATATTTGAAAATCCAAAAGACATAGCAATGAGGATGTCAAAAAAAAAAAACATAGCGATGAGCCACATATGGTATAAATAATACACAACTCTATCACAAATGAAGTCTACTCTGTCTCAAGCTTGAGATTGTTGTAAGCAACATAAAAATACAATCTCACAACTGTTTTGCATTTATATTTATAATGTGAATCAAGTAGAATGAGTCTGAATCATAGTATTGTTGGAACTGGAGAACGTTTTTCTCACCAAAAGTAAAACTTAAGGAGCGACTCAGTTTTCTTTCGTCTAGAGAAAATTAATTTATACAATTGTAACTTTTTGACTTATAACAGATTTCAAGTTTCTAAAGCTGATATAGAGTTCCATATTGTTCGTTGTAATCCGATATTGTAGAAAAACTGAAGTAAAAACCTAACTAAAGAACTGGTGATTAAAAACAGTTACTCACCGTTTCTTAATTTATATTTGCAAAATTTCATGAAACATAAAACTGAAAAAAGTTTTTTTTCAACTAACATATAACGATAAATTCCACATTCTTCACCAATATTGGCAAATGATTGAGCTAGCTAAACTATCAAACAAATATTATATCAATCAATAAAGAACTCATATCATAAAAAAGTTTATTATTAATTGCTATTTTTTTTTCGTTGAATATATGAACTAATTATAAAACATCTATGTACATACTGAATCTTACAAAAATTGATAAGTAGAGAAATGCATACTATATGAAAATTAAAAGCAAAATCCTAATACACAATATGAAACAAAAATGGAGTAAGGCTTGAGTTTTTCTTTTTAAAAGCATCAAGCGAAAGGCAAGCTTATACAAAATATTTTTGAAAGTATAAAAAAATATTCATGGTGTTCACTAAAGAAATAACATTATAACATAAGATGTCCAAATTTAGACAATATATTTCTAATATAATATATAGTTCATGTGGATACTATTTACATAAACAAAAAATATAACAAAATTACAAATCAAATTATTATACAAAAATGTCAAACTTTACCCTTCATATTTGCAAAAACATGCATAACTCTTTTTAAAAAGTTTAACTAAGCCAAAAGGTATATTAATCTACTTTCAAATTATTATACAAAAATTTTGATCATTTTTTCACATATATATACATCCTTCTGATACTTACTTTGCTCGATTATATCTGAGAATCACATGCAAATATATTACTCTATAATTTATCACAATATTAAACATAAAATTAATTAACAACCTTTTATAAAACTATAATATAACTATATAATCCACGCATAGTGTAGACAAAATACTAGTATAGTAAAAAATGTTGTCTATAGAGCTCTGCTTCTTTTCATTTAACTAATTGAGTTTAATTTTTGTTGTATAAAAATGGGTTTGTTTGCTTTTTGAATAATTTCGTTATTTCCTACTCTTGGGCCTGAATTTATGAGTATTTTACTTTTACCTTGTTCACTCCAATCTTGTACGCGAGCTCTCACTTCCAGCTACTCTCTATCGAACTCACATTTGGCTGGTAACAATTCAATTTTATTCGTATTGATATGATGATTGAATGTCGCATGATCGGGTCAACCCCTACTATATATGTTGATGTCTAAGACCGTGTTCAGACTTTGGTTGGATATCTTCTTTCGCGAAGTATATAATTAAAGCTTCTACTATAGGTTGATATGGTGTTTTTTTTTTTTTTTCCATTTGTTGGTTTATGATAAGTTGGTACAAAATCACCCCAAATAATATTAGTGAACGTAGATGAACAAAACAATTAATGGACATATAAGCAATATATGCATGTGTTCTTTTCTTTGATATATATGTGAAAAAAACTATGAAACGAATGATATATCATAGGATCTTTTATAATGGATGGTTGTCCATTGTTTTGTTCATCGAAGACAACGGATAATGAAGGCAACCCATGTGCATGATTGCATGAATACTGTCATCATGGCCACCATTGTATTAGTATTACCATCCCAAAAACCTTATGATTTTGTATTCTATAAAAACAATAAATACATACAAAATCATGTAAAATATTTGTTTTCTTATTTTTACGTGGAAAATGAATCTGAAAAAACATAAATAAATATGCTTTTAAATTAACCATAAGATAAAACGGATATATATATATATATCATTTCTTTTCTTTTTTTTTTTAAGTTTGGTGGACACAGAACTGGGAAGAAGAAAAATCTAAAAATAACAAATTGTATAAATCATTGAGGTTCCTTTTTTTTTTCTTATTTGAATTAAGATGTAGGAGTGTATACCATGTTGTGTTGGAGATTTCATAGTTTGTTATAGATATTGAGGGTGGGATGTCTGTCTTGTACTATAATTAATCATCGTCATTATATTTTAAATTTTGTTTTTAGACAGCCTAATTTCTCTCAAACAGCTAGGCCATGTGAATTGTTTTTCTTTTCTTTTTTCAGCAAGTCTAATTATTTTGATCATTCGGTTCCTAAAGGCTAAAACCAAGTAAAAGACCATAACTTTAATTCATTTTTTTAGTTTTCAGTTTTTCTTTAGGAATATAGAAATCGACATTTGGTTTAGTGCCATTTTAAAAAAAAAAACACACAGAGTCTTTTATGAACCAAATGATTAAAACAATTAGATACAAAAAAAAGTTAAACACAAAATCACTCGAATTAAGAGAGATAGCATGGTTTGGTTCAGTTGAATCAAATTGAACACATTGAATTAACCGGATACAAGTATACTAGTAGACTTGTACTTATACGGCTACACCAATATAGATATCAAACAAAATGTAAATCTAATTTTTTTATTCCAGATATTGAGGATAATCATAATCCAACTAAAAGCATGACATATACACCAATGAAACATTATTAGACAGAATTATATACGTTCTTATGTGTTGAACAGAATAACATACACTATACATTACGAAATTCAAACCCTTATAACAAAAAAATATATATACTATGAAATTTGAATAAATGAGATAAGAGATTAAGAGGCGTATATGTTACAACTATACAGATCACCATCCGGAATTAACAATCCGATTGGTACGGGTCCTACTTCGATATTTGCCAACTCTGTTTGATGTGACCGCCAGCTGGCAAATTTTTCTTCTGAATTACGTATTTATCCCTTCATCTCCTCGTTATCTCTTCTGTTTGACCGTTATTCCATTTTATTACATGTACTTGCTGTCTTTGACCCTTTTTCCGGTTCTCGAAGAAAATCAGAACTAAAATCACAATACTACCGAAACCGGTTTATACTCGGTACTGAAATCACACCTCCGCGTCTGGTCGTAATGGTCAAGCATTTTCCGGTTTATTTGTAGCACTCAAATCAAACCATGGATTATGACGATGATGTATCAAAAATTTTGAAAACTATTTTTCGGTTTAACGTTGTTTTAATCGATGGCTTTTGACCGAATAACAGAAACAGTTCTGATGCCAACGAGACAAGAAGGGTAAAACGAGAAAAAAGGGAGGGGCAATAATCGTAATTAGGTAGGAAAACGAGGGGTAATTTGAAGAGAAACCTGGCTATATGACGCGAAAGGGTTTCTTAAATTCAGAGAGACAATTAATCAGTTTCGTGTGTTTCAGAGAAGAAGAAGAACAGATCGAGACGAAGAAGATCGTCACAGAGATTTATTATCTCAAAGTAAGTCTCTTTATCAAACTCATAACTAAATAAACAAATCAAAAACACAAATATGTCTTCGTTTCGATCATTTAGATATGTGGGAAAAAAGTTTCGATTGTTCTATTCAACGTACGAACTCTGTTGTATTTGTTCAATATTTTCCCGATATTCTACTGATAAACAGAGTTAGTAATTTATATAGAGACAGAATATGTGGTATCTAGATCCATAACACATGTGTTTTTTTTCTCAATCGTTCTACGTAGAAATATGAGAAGTTCGTCTATGATAGTCATGAAACTCTCTTTTGCCTGATTAGTTTAGGTTTTGATTCAGAAAATATGATTAAGACAAACATAACTTCTTTTTTACAAGGTAATTACAGTCTCCAGGTTCAGATTTGGTGTCAATCAAAAATTCAACAGTAATATTACCAACCCTCTAGAATAAAAATTAATATTTCCATATACATATCTTTGGGAGGATTAGTTTAGATTTTGATTGAAGAAATACTGTTACAACAAACATTTTTTTTTTCTTGTTCTTAGTTTTTGTCGTTTTCTAAAACATTAGATATGTACTTTTGTTTTTATTCACCAGTAGATATGTACTATACACACATGACAGATAAGTAACGTGGGCGTATTATTAGATATGTTTTTTCAAATTTATTTTTTGTTACATAAGAATATGTTTATAACATTTATTTTCTTTCTATTTCTTTGACAGGATCGTTAGAGTTGAGAAGGTTAATTTAAATTAAATAACAAGAAAGTATGGGTTACTGGAATTCGAAGGTTGTTCCAAGGTTCAAGAAGATATTCGAGAAGAACAGTGCTAAGAAGGCTGCTGCTGCTGAAGCTTGCAAGACCTTTGATGAGTCTAAGGTAATATAGATTATTATTACTAACCTAATTTTAATAATCTGTTTATTACGTGGTAAGACACCATTATTTGATCATAAACTATAATATACTATTATGCACATAGAAGTTTATTTGCTGTATTATAATATAGTAGGTGTTTTATTAATAGCTTTTGTTTGATTCCTAATAGAGAGGGATATTAAAAAAACAATAAGTACGTATCAATTGGACTTTAGCACTTCAGGTTTTTTTGTCCTATAATAACTATCCACTGAAGCGATATTTATTACTCTTTTCTTTATTACGATCATTTGATTTTTATGTGTTTGCTAAATTGGGCACGTATGATGATCTTTTACGTGTTATAGGAAGCAATCAACAAAGAGATTGAGGAGAAAAAGACAGAACTCCAACCAAAGGTCGTGGAAACCTATGAGGCCACGTCTGCTGAAGTCAAGGTCCCTATCTTCATTTTCTTTAATTCTCTAATTGAAAGATATTTTAATTATATCATTCAAATTCTATATGTTTACTGTAATTTTGGCATGTTTAAGATTTAAAAATAAAAATGGACAGGCTTTGGTGAGAGAACCTAAGGAGGCTGGTTTAAAGAAAAACTCAGCGGCTGTGCAGAAGTATCTCGAGGCGCTTGTCAATATTGGTAATGATTCTATTACGCTTTGTCATTTTCCTATTATAAATACCCCGACAACAATTTTTGCTTGTCTTATATATTTATATGTTTTGTCTTATATGCATATAGTATTGATATTTACTCATATATATATTTGCTGGCAGAAACTTTGGATTCCTATTCTCTTAAAACATTCGTATACGCATATGATAGATTGAAATAGCATATTATGTATATCTCTACTAGTTGTGTATATATATGATAGATTGAAATAGCATATTATAACATTTTGATAACATATTATGTTCCGTCATATTTCACTAAATCCAAAACTTTAGGTCAAACCTCAACATCTTTTGATTAATTGGATTTGGAATACTTTTCTTCTTTCTAGTTTTTATTAGATGAATGTAGTGAATTTTACTTATCTTTTTGTGTCTAACAATGAAATGTAAATGCAGAATTCCCCGGATCAACGGCTGTAAGAGACGCTTCGTCTAGCTTCGGAGCTGGCTATGTCTCTGGACCAGTCACGTTCATATTCGAGAAGGTATGCGTGTTCCTTCCTGAGGAGGTAAAGACACGGGAAGTACCGGTGGAGGAAGTGAAAACCGAAGAACCGGCTAAAACCGAAGAACCAACCAAAACCGAAGAACCGGCCAAAACCGAAGAAACAAGTGGTGAGAAAGAGGAGATTGTTGAAGAGGTCAAGAAAGAAGAGACTGTTACAACCGCGGTCGTCGAGGAGAAGAAACCGGAGGTAGAGAAGGAGGAAGAGAAGAAGCCTGTCGAAGAAGTGAAAAAGGAAGAAGCTCCTGCTCCGGCTCCGGCGGTGGTTGAAACTCCGGCTAAGGCACCGGAAACAACGACGTCGGCGCCTGTGGCTGAGCCACCAAAGCCTTGATATGCTTCAAGATGGTATGATTACCTCTCCTTGTATGAAAACATCTTTGTACGTAACAAAAATGAAACGAAAGGAACAAAAAAAAAAAACTTATTTTTCATTCTTTTTATTTTCTTTGGTTTGTCATTGTGTGGATAAATCTCTCTGTTTTTTTTTTTTTTTTTTTGGAAGTCTTAAATGTGTTAAAATGTGAATCTGTAACAAAATATTTGTGGATGTTTTTTTTCTATACAATTATTTGTATGTTTCAATCAAGCTTATCCGATTAAAAACATTCTGATAATCTTTCAGTCAAAGTAAATTACATATTCAACAAGTCTCTTAAGTCTTATTTTACTTGGTCGTGCGACATTAATGACGTTTTTTTGTTTACTTATGAGATTTTTTTGTTTTATCGTCAATACAATTACGTACTACGGTACAGTCAAGGATCATGGAACATTAGCAAATCGCATAAGCAGATAAGATTAACAAACAAAATTAAAATGAAAGAAAACAAGATACGTCGCTTATAGATTATTTTAGTCCATAGGTTTGCACATACTCTTTGCATTATTTTTAGTTTTTCTTATATACGTAATCAACAACTATTTGTGAAAATTCGATAAAAAATTTTGTTAGCAAACTTTGAAATACTTTTATCGATGAAACCAACTGGTATGTGCTTAAATTAGGTGCACGTTAAATTTGATTTGTCTAGCAGAAAGAGGAGAGCACATCGGATTTGTTTAAGATTGTTGTTGATACGTGCAAGTAATAAGGAACCTAAATTGCAGACAAAGAAAGATAAATAATATGCAACAAAAGTCTTAATTTTCTTAATTCAAATGAAGTGGTAAGCAACTTATCTCTTAATCACGATATCTTCTCTAGAATCTATTCTCTCTTATTTTTAAAAAAGCGATGCGTAATATTCCACTATACCCATGGTAGGCCTAATAAAAAAAAATCAAATCATTTTCAACTTAAGAGTTTAGTGATGTTCATGGTTTTGACTTGACCAATTCAATTTCTTGTTTATTTCTTTTCCAAATTCAATCCGTCGCTATTACTTCAATAGAATTAAGTTGAATGCATGTTCGATTTTTTTCCTCTCTAAATAACCAGATACATAGCCGTATCTTGAACTTGAGATCTAATATCTTAATCTTTCCCTCTCAAACATCTTCTTAATAATTAAACCCTTTATTAAAAAAGAAACATTTTCTTAATAATCAAAGAGTTTTGAATCTTGCGGTCTATAGTAATTTTTGGACAGGAGATTAGGATATGAAGGCTTTGTCTTAATTATGTGCAAGATAAACTGATACAAATACAAACTCATTACTATTTGTCAAACATTTAATGTAATCGATATGTGCAACGGCCCAAAGGGGCCCAAATAAGTACAAGTTAAGTTAAAATACCGAGTAAACCTTGTCTGCATGCCCAGTCAACTCCATGTGGCTTCAGCCTTCAAGTTTCATATCCGTATCTGGCTAGATCAGAAGAGTAAAATCTTATGACACTTGCCACAATTCTGAAATTGAGGTGTGAGCTAAGAAGCCTAGATCAGCAAGATCAAACTAATCAAATTTTTTATGATCAGATAAATTTCATTTGTAACCAAAACTATTTTCAAGGTCTATAGAAACAAGGTTTTATATATTGTCATTTAAAATGTCTACAGTGTGTAACAGCTTTGAAGGACATCTCATAATAGAACGGACCTGCTATAGCATAGCAATATAGCATAGACTTATATTATATATACAACAGAAGAGGCCACATTATTTCCACTGAACAAAAGAAACACAATGATAAGTGAACAAGAAGAGACTACCAAAAAGTGAAATATTGACAGGATCATCTAAAGCTTTTTGACAATTTCAAATTTCTTCTTGTAAATCAAAGAGATTCCTTTGTTTTACCCCAGCAGATACTTCAAAGTAAGATTATGGCATTACCATGAACTAATATAAACAGTAAACACACACAAGAGTAATGTTTTTTTGTTTGTTGAAGTTTTTAGGGTTTAGAAATATATAGAGTTATGAGCAATATTAAGGTTGGTGAACAAAATATCTTATTTTGAAGGACGAAACTTAGCTCCAAAAAGAAAGGATTGATCTGATGATTTGGTGTTTCTTCCAAATCGACTAAAATAATCAGATCAGATATGATCACTAACCCTAAAAATTAACCCCCAAGAAATAGAGAAGATTTTTACGCAGGAGATAAATTTTGTTCTATTACGAGATTTTTTTTTAAACCCCTAGAATAAGCTAGCTACATAATAAATCATTTTGTTTCAAGTTTTTCCTCTTTAAATCTTGAAATCATCTCGCAGCAACACACGATTAATTAAGATCTGATGACTTGAATTTGAATTATAATGCTGGAGCGGTGCAGATAGAACTTACCAAGAACACAATATTGTACTACACTACCTACATCATAAGATTCATAACCATTTAAAGCCTTATCCGAGTCGAACAGTTTCCAACGATCCAGTTTAAACATTTTACTCGGTTTACTAAAGATATAGTGATTGCCAAGTGAGTGAGCTCGGACCAAGCTAAAATGAAAGTCTTCACTCAGAATTTTCTAGACACTTAAACAATTAATCAAGAAATTGTTATATTTGTCAAAATATTGATGATCGAACTTCAACATTTTTTTTTGTAACTAACATTTTTTTTAATGTAGAAAAATATTTTTTTTAAGTCCTGATGTATATCTTTTATAATTTCAGAAGTATTTTTTTATAAAGTAAAATGTTGGTAAAGTGCTCCTAAATGTTGGTAAAGTGCTTCTTAATGTTGGTAAATTGTATATAAAAATAAATCTAAGAAAGCTTAAATGCACGCCAAAGAAAAGCATAAAACAAAATTAACAGAACGACCAAGAAAAAGATGCAAAACAATTACATGAGGAAAAAAAAGAGAAAGTCGAACACATAGCCATTTAGTAATAAAGCTTCGCAATGAAAAAAGTATCTTCATATAGCTAGCCAATTACTGAGAAAGTTATGAAATTGAAATAAAGTCGAACCCATAGCCATGTAGTAAGAAAGTTTTGCAATCGATAAACAAAGTCAAAAGAAGCAACTCCACTAAGTCTCGTTTCTCTAAATTACATCACAGCAAAAAATGTAGAAGTGTAGTTGGAACCCTAGTCCCTAGAAAGATGTAAATGTACTTCTTTAATCTTTATGGAAATGTTGGTTCTTCCAACGCCAATTTTCATATCCACCTGATAAAATATGAATTGAAAATGATGGATTTCCATCAATGATGTTATGGTAAATCAAATATCCACGGGTAATGGTTAGTTTTAAATCAATTCAAATAAAATTAGTTGTGTTCCTACTAGTTTGGACCAGTCAAATCCGTCACAACTACGACATATGTTAGACGATTCGTCACGGTGTAGTAACCTGCATGGTCGAACGGAGTAATAAGAGGACCTAGCTTAAAACCAATAATGCCAGCGTTTGATTAGTCCAGTCCGTTACAACATTTGTAGTTCAGTAAATATATAGATTCGAGGGATTAGGGTTGGTACCTTCAAATTCATAACCAGACGAACAATTACTTATCGTCTCTTAGTAGAACGAACTATACTTGTGTGTTTTTCCTTTAATTTCATTCTGAAAGTTTTCATATGCTTGAAGGACATTGAAAGTAAAAGATTGAGACGTTCATTTTAGAGAGAAAAAGAAAGTAGCATGCTCCAAATTTAATAATCAGCTGTCTTTGGCTTTTCTTTTTCACTTTAGGCCAGCAAAGTTAATGGGGGAGGGCCTCTTCTTTGTTCGTCTCACATTTTAGGCATCTCAGTAATCTAAAACCGAAAACAAAATCGAATAAACTAATTAGAGCCCATGAAATAGCAAAAGATGGATAGATTTGGTTTAGATTTTCACTAATAATTAAATAAAGGAAGTAAGGTGTTCTTTATCACACTTTTCGACGCCAAGTATTTTCGAAGTTCAAACCCTTATTGCTGTATATTGTAGTTTTTTACACTATTGAGTACAAATTTGTATTCATTTCAACTTCTTTTGTTATGGCATTAATGTACTCATATTCATAGAAAACTGTTCTAGCTCTTAGTCGAGAAATAATATAGGTCACCAGAACACTAGAAATAGTTTGTACCATATTAATTTGCTGTCCTTGTTTATCTTATTAATCTGATACGTCTTTTTCAAAGACAAAATCGAAATAAAATGTTAGATAAAGGGGAAAAATAATCGTAAAGGGTAGTTTACGAAATAATTCGATAATAATTGCAGATTGGTATGTACATGTATCTTTTTGCAGGTTCATGGTGTGAAAATTTCGAGGAGTTTGAGCTGTGGAAACATTGGGTACAGTAACAGAATCCTTGACAGAGAAGTTATTAATTTTTCTAATACAACAAAATAAAACAAAAAGAGCAGCACAATTACCAAAGATTCTAGTTACTTTGGTTTGTACTAATTTAGTGGTTGGACAAAGACAATCCATCTCAAATCTGATGGATTAGATTTTGGTTTTTTAGTTAATGGAACATAAAACGTTAGAATGACATAAAGGTACGATGTTTATTTCATAATATAGGGTAATTATATGATCTGTAATTAGTAGGTGAATTCCACCCAAGCTAAAACAAAAATTGATTCATGCGTTCGACCAAAATGACAGGACAGTTGGAATTTAATTGAAAATAATATTTGATATTAGCAACATGTGATATTTGTGTGTTCTTTCTGATATTGTGTGTTTCTTTTTTTGTGTGTACAACTTTACGATTTTTAAAGTGCTTGAAGAATAGCACAAATATGATAATTTTCCTTTAATCGGTTGTTTAAATTACTTGATCATGTAAACAATATTATTATTTAGATATAAATAATAATCAATTTGGTTTTTATAAACCATCAAACAATATTGCTGAAATAGTTATACCACAATCAACATGTCGTAGATAGTGTTTTTAATATCGGATAGAGGTAAGATTAGTGTTGGATGGCAACAATTTTGTTCTAATTTTGTTTTTTAAAAGTTAAAACTGAAACATTCATGATCTCAGCTTAGTGAACTATGTGACTATGTCTATATATATGAAACCTAATTCAAATAATCCTCTTATAATTGGGAGATAAAAAGAAAAAGAAATCAAATCAAAAGATAAAGAGAAGACAAAAAAGAATGCAACAGGCACTAATCTTTACTAATATTTATATTTTTCTCCATTAAAGAAAAAGCTATGATGTGTGTTCTCTCATCTTTTGTGAAAGTATATATATTGCTTTTACTTTTTTCAAAAGCAAAAGACTCATCCAAAAAAAAAAAAAAAAACCTAAAGCTCAATCCAAAAGACGAAGAATGCATTGGATACTGCAACTTCTTTTTCGCTTTTGTTTTTAAAAATTCAATTATGATTTTCACAATTTAGTCTATTCGAAGAAAATATAATTGTGAAGGCTTGAAATGATGAGTATCCTCGTCACTTATTAAGCCACTCACTATAAGCAGCAACTCCAGAACATAGTGAGCCCCCAAAAAAAATTAAAAACAGTAAAACATAATGATGTGTAATGATGATGATCTCCTTCGATCGATTTCTCTAGGGTTTTGCAATCTCTTCGAAGACCCTTCTTCTCTTTCATTTCTCTGAACTTCAGACTGTGTCGGAGAAGTTTTAAATTTATTTTTTTCTGATGTTACAATGGCAGACAAGATCTTCACTTTCTTCCTAATCTTGTCTTCAATCTCTCTGTTTTTCTCTCCTCTCCTTTGTTCTTCTTCGATTTCATCTCTTAATCTCTCACTAATTAGACAAGCAAACGTACTTGTCTCTCTAAAGCAAAGCTTTGATTCATATGATCCTTCTCTTGATTCATGGAACATTCCAAATTTCAACTCTCTATGTTCTTGGACTGGCGTTTCTTGTGACAACTTGAATCAGTCCATTACTCGTCTCGATATCTCTAATCTCAATATTTCCGGCACTCTCTCCCCGGAAATCTCACGTCTTTCGGCCTCTCTCGTTTATCTCTCGGTCGCTTCAAACAGTTTCTCCGGCAAGATTCCTAGAGTGATCCATAAGCTCTCGAGTCTCGAGGTCTTAAACATCTCAAACAACGCCTTTGAAGGAGAGCTTGAGCCAGTTGCGTTCGGTCAAATGACTCAGCTCGTGACTCTTGACGCTTACGACAACAACTTCAACGGATCACTTCCTCTGTCTCTACCCAAACTCACTCGACTCGACTACTTAGATCTCGGAGGAAACTACTTTACCGGTGAAATCCCTAGAAGCTACGGAGGTTTCTTGCGTCTCAAGTATCTGTCTTTATCCGGAAATGATCTCAGTGGGAGAATCCCTACCGAGTTAGGGAACGTCACGACTCTGGAAAAGCTCTACTTAGGTTACTACAACGATTTCCACAGCGAGATACCTGCGGATTTCGGGAGATTGATCAATCTTGTTCATTTGGATTTAGCAAACTGCAGCTTGAAAGGATCAATTCCTGCAGAATTGGGGAATCTCAAGAATTTGGAGATTCTGTTTCTTCAGACCAATGAGCTTACAGGCTTTGTTCCTCGAGAGTTGGGGAACATGACAAGCCTCAAGACTCTAGATCTCTCCAACAACTTTCTAGAAGGAGAGATTCCTCTGGAGCTATCTGGACTTCAAAAGCTTCAGTTGTTCAACCTCTTCTTCAACAGACTACACGGAGAGATCCCTGAGTTCGTATCTCAGCTTCCTGATCTGCAAATCCTCAAGCTCTGGCACAACAATTTCACGGGAAAGATCCCTGTGGAGCTAGGATCAAACGGGAAGTTGATCGAGATCGATTTGTCTACCAATAAGCTCACAGGTTTGATCCCTGAGTCACTCTGTTTCGGAAGAAGGCTAAAGATTCTCATTCTCTTCAACAACTTCTTGTTCGGTCCTCTCCCTGAAGATCTTGGCCAATGTGAGCCGCTTTGGAGATTCCGTCTCGGTCAGAACTTTCTGACAGGTAAACTACCAAAGGGTTTGATTTATTTGCCAAATGTATCTCTTCTCGAGCTTCAAAACAACTTCTTGACCGGAGAGATTCCGGAAGAAGAAGAGGCGGGAAATGAGCGGTTTTCCAGCCTCACTCAGATCAATCTGTCCAACAATCGGTTATCCGGGCCGATTCCTGGTTCAATCAGAAACCTCAAAAGCCTTCAGATTCTTCTTCTCGGAGCAAACCGGTTCACAGGACAAATCCCGGGCGAAATCGGAAGTTTGAAGAGTCTTCTCAAGATTGACATGAGCAGAAACAACTTCTCAGGCAAGTTTCCTCCTGAGCTTGGAGATTGCCAGTCACTCACATACTTGGATTTGAGTCATAACCAAATCTCCGGTCAGATTCCGGTTCAGATATCGCAGATTCGGATCCTAAACTATCTGAATGTTTCTTGGAATTCCTTGAGCCAAAGCCTCCCCGTCGAACTCGGATACATGAAGAGCTTAACATCAGCAGATTTCTCCCACAACAACTTCTCCGGTTCAGTACCAACTTCAGGGCAATTCTCTTACTTCAACAACACGTCATTCGTTGAAAACCCTTTTCTCTGCGGATACTCTTTCAGCCCTTGCAACGGCTCCCAAAACCAATCACAATCTCAGCTTCTCAACCAGAAAAATGCAAATTCCCACGGCAAAATCTCTTCAAAATTCAAGCTGTTATTCGGGTTAGGCCTACTAGGGTTTTTCTTGGTGTTCGTCGTTTTAGCTGTGGTCAAGAATCGGAGAATGAGAAGGACTAGCTCGAATCTTTGGAAGCTCATAGGATTTCAAAAGCTCGGTTTCAGAAGCGAGCACATTCTGGAATGCGTTAAGGAGAACAATGTGATCGGTAAAGGCGGTGCAGGGATTGTCTACAAAGGCTTGATGCCAAACGGAGAAGAAGTTGCGGTCAAGAAGCTATTAACCATCAGCAAAGGATCATCTCACGACAACGGTTTATCCGCAGAGATACAGACATTGGGTAGGATCAGGCACAGAAACATAGTGAGATTGCTCGCTTTTTGTTCAAACAAAGACGTGAATCTCCTTGTTTATGAGTATATGCCAAATGGTAGTCTCGGAGAAGTCCTGCACGGGAAAGCTGGAGTGTTTTTGAAATGGGAAACGCGGTTGCAAATAGCGTTGGAAGCGGCTAAAGGATTGTGTTACCTTCACCACGATTGCTCGCCGCTTATAATTCACCGAGATGTGAAATCAAACAACATCTTGTTGGGTCCTGAGTTTGAAGCTCATGTCGCCGATTTTGGGCTGGCTAAGTTTATGATGCAAGACAATGGAGCTTCAGAGTGTATGTCCTCGATCGCAGGCTCGTACGGCTACATCGCCCCAGGTATATGACTGATTCCCAATACTTGTTTCTTGTGTAACACGTGACATTGAAAGTTAGGGCTGGGCATGCATATCTTCGGTTTGTTCGATGTTTTGGTCTATTTAGTTTTGGACATACAGTAACCGAATTAGAACCAAAATACACTCAGTTAGGCTTGGTTGGTAAAAGTCTAAAGTACAAGAAATATTTTATAAATGATCAAGAATATTTTATTAATTAAATATGTGAAATTACTATAGTTATATTAAAACAATATCTTCTAAATCATATTGTTTAGGTCCTACATGTTGAGCTTAATACTATATGATTTCTAGATTATTTGACCAGGTTTTTCGTTGCTAGTTCGGGGTTTGTTTAGTTAAACTGATTCGATTCAATTGCTCATTCGTGCATGCCTAAAACTCGTGTATAGCTAAACCTAATTTATCCAATTTCTTCCTTGCAGAATACGCATATACACTGAGAATAGACGAGAAGAGCGATGTGTACAGCTTCGGAGTAGTGTTATTGGAGCTAATAACAGGTCGAAAACCAGTAGATAAATTTGGAGAAGAAGGGATAGACATTGTGCAATGGTCAAGGATTCAGACAAATTGTAACAGACAAGGCGTGGTGAAGATCATTGACCAAAGATTGAGCAATGTGCCGTTAGGAGAAGCCATGGAACTGTTCTTTGTGGCAATGCTTTGTGTTCAAGAACATAGTGTTGAGAGACCGACCATGAGAGAGGTTGTCCAGATGATTTCTCAGGCTAAACAGCCCAATACTTTCTAAATTCAGTGTTATTATATATATAACTTAAATATTTTTTGTTGTGTTGTATGTGTCTTATAGAGTTTTTTTTGTTAGAATTGTAATCATGGTTTGGTGGTTATATGAGGTAATATTATTAAGACTGAGGGGAAAAAAGAGGGTTAGGACTATATCTCGTGATATAATATATCCACTCATGCAGAACTTTAAACAAGTTCAAACAAATTTGTGAATGATGAGAGAGATTAAATATCTTTTTTATATCAAATACAAAATATTTTACTAAGATATTATTTTGTTAAATATAGATGTTTTTGTTGATTAGTAATTTCTTAAAACATTTAATTATAGTTTCAAATATGCTCTCTAATGTTAAAATTTCTAAAAAAAAAGATTTATTAATTTTAGGAACAATAAATTAATTAATTTTCCATTGAAAGATTTATTACTCTTAGAAAATGATACATTCACTCAAGAATAAAGTTGGAAATTTGTATTTAAAATCGAATTTGCAACATTTTACCCTTTTTCCAACAATTATATTTGGAAGAAGGAAAAAAATTTAAGCCCAGCTCAATTGAATTGATTTAGTCGAAGTATCAATTACTCAACTGAGCCCAGCCCAAATGGTTTAGTTCGGTTGAAGTAAATAATTATTACGACTCTAAATTATATGGTTCGGTTTAATATTATTCGGTTGGATTCATCATATTTAGATCAAACCGACCAGAGCAGTCTTCTTCGGCTGACGGCGAACAATTTTCCTCTCCGCCTGGAAAATTTTGGAGCTCCCCGTTTGTGAATATCGGTCGAGAGATTCGTGCCATTCGAAATTGAACCTGAGTTTCACCTAAGAAGTTCCTCAAGGTTCGTTCGTCAATGACCGTCGCTATTCATTACTTTAGAGCTCGTTCCCATCTCTAAACCCTAATTGATTTCGTCAGGATTTATGTCCGATCTCTCTAAGAAATTGCTGAATTCGAGGTTAATAGTTTGAAATTCGTTTAGGTTTCATAAGAAATGAAGCATTCGAAGGATCCGTTTGAAGCAGCAATTGAGGAGGAGCAAGAGGAATCGCCGCCGGAATCACCCGTTAGTGGCGGCGGAGGCGGAGGCGATGGTAGTGACGAGGGCCGAAACGAAATCGACCAGACTCCGGAAGAAGATGAGAGAGATGTGGGAGTTCGCCGTCAGCCGAAGAAGCCTAAAACCTCGGTTGTCGCTGAAGCGAAGAACAAAGATGATGACGAAGAAGAAGAGGAAGAGAATATGGAAGTTGAGCTAACCAAATACCCAACTACTGCTGATCCTGCTAAGATGGCCAAAATGCAGTGAGTGTTTAGACTTTTTTTTTTTTTTTTAATTATCCTCCCTGTTTCTTGATTTTTAACATTGTGATGATTGTTCGTTTGTCGAATTCTCCAGGATCATTCTATCGCAGTTCACTGAGGATCAGATGAGCAGATATGAATCTTTCAGGAGATCTGCTCTGCAAAAAGGGAGCATGAGGAAGGTAATGTATATATATATATATATATATATATATATATATATGTGATATCTGTTGAACGCATATTCAAACATGAACCATTTAGCTTTGTGTGTTTATTGTTTGTTCTTCAATGCAGTTGTTAATAGGAGTCACAGGGAGCCAGAAGATAAGTTTGCCAATAATAATCGTTACTTGTGGTATCGCAAAGATGTTTGTTGGTGAACTCGTGGAAACAGGTAAGACTGGTTAAGTTTTTTCAATTATACGGTGGCAACATAGAATCTGTAAAAAAGCTAACTTCGCTTGATCGAACAATTTTTTTCTTTGCAGCTCGAGTTGTTATGGGGGAAAGGAAAGAATCAGGACCTATCAGACCTTGCCATATCAGAGAGTCCTATCGAAGACTAAAGCTCGAAGGTAAAGTGCCGAAAAGATCAGTTCCACGCCTTTTCCGCTAGTTCAGAACAAGAGCCAAAAGTGGCTTTTCTCAAGACCAAACCTTATGATAATGGTCTACGGTTTATGCTGGAGAGATTTGCCTATTAGTGCCATAAGAAAGTAGGCTTCTTTGGCCTCTCTGGTCCGATTCTATTGTTCTTTCATGTCCTGCACTTTGTGACAACTTTTTTTTTCTTTGAATGCAAGATCAATCTTTGGATACAGATTTACTGTTTGGTTTCTGGTTTTGTGTTTCGGTTTTATATAATGTGTAATCAGATAAAATCATTTGTGATTCGGTTTTCGTGTTTTGTTCAAGTTGTTCAAAAATATCGGTTTATTTGGTTATCTAAATTCGGTTTGGCTTACAAACAAATTTTGGTCGAATCTTACGAGAAGAATTTTCATTTAATATTATGTTCTTCGGCGTTTGTTGTTGTAAAGCGTCACGATCGGAATTGGGTCTATTGTCAAATTGGCACGGAGACGTTTTTGATCACACGTTCACGTTGGCGGCGAAAGCCGAAAGGGAGTCTGTATAGTGGGCCTTGTGATGGGCCGGGTTCTGTAACGTAAGGGATGTACTAATATGTGAAAGAGAAGAAACTATGAGTTGTAAATTAGAAGTTTACAGACATTTTAAGGACACGATTGGAAAACTGAAAAGAATAAAAGAAGTTTTGCCACAATAACGCACCCACTATCTTTCTCCTTCCCTTCCGCCTTCTTCTTCTTCTTCTTCTTCTTCCTCCTCCTCCTCACTGTTAACGCAGAGCCTCCGTTTCTTCTCTTCTTCTTCCCCCTCTCTCTATCTATCTAGATAATTATCTTCGTCTTCTTTTTTTTTCATTGTCTTTACTAAATAGACCTTTTGCTTCTCTGGTGATCGGAACGAGACAATAGAAGCACGGAGGAGGCTCTGTTTCGTTTACCCTCGTCTAATTGAAAAAAAAATGGATGTGAAGAAAATTGCACGAATCGTAGGTTTCTGAAAATAATCACAGATCGGAAATCGGAAATCGGAAACCTACCATTACACAAAATTCGAATCGGGTTTTCACTTTGGTATAATGATGAGGTTTCTCTCTTCTCTTCTTCCTCTTCTTCTTCTTCTCTGTTCTTCCTTTTTTTAATTTGACTCTGGGTTTTTCCATTTTCGCTCTGTTTTTTTTCCGGATACGCTGACCATCGGGATTTTCAGCTGATTTGAGTTTTATTTTTTTCTGGATATCTTTTGTTTTCGAATTTCTAATGGTTTCTATGGATCTGGGTTTGATTTGAAACTGTTTCTCGGGAGACAAAAGGATTTCAATTTGATCACTATATTGATTCCAACAACGAAATTGCTAAGAAAATTTCTGGACATCGAAGATCTTCAATTACAATTCTCAGAGCTTCTCTCTCAAAGTCTGATTTGGATTAGCCTAATTTAGCCACCGTTATAAACTCAGAAGAAATTTGAGAAAAATTCACTCGAAAAAAACTCTGCGTAGAAACACAGTCGCATTACGCAATTTTCACAGTTAAATCGTCTTTCTCGTTCGGGACTATGTTAATGTTTGATCTGATCTTGTTTTGATTAGGTATCAGAGGGTAAGCCCAGATTGTCTTCCCCTTACAAATGGAGGCAAAAAGCCGTACTTGAGACCTTCACCTTCAAGAGCATCAAACGAAGACACCACCGTCATTACCACGACCTCGATCATCGCCGGAAGAGGATTTAACGGCGGATCATACACCACAACAAGCTCATCTCTAGACGGAGCATCCAAAGGATTCCGATTCAGATCCACCTTAAAACAACAACAAGAAGAAGATCCTAGCCCTAGCCGGCGCGGCGGAGATGTGCTGTTGCAGTGGGGTCAGCGAAAACGATCGAGAATCTCGAGAGCGGAGATCCGATCGTCGACCACCGCCGATGAATCTTCGTCTTCTTCAGGACAAGGTAAAATTCAATCGAGCAAGCTCTTAAGAAGATCGGTAAACCCGTCTATGCCACCTCCTCCGCCGGTTTTCTCCGGCCGGAGTACTAAGCTTAGAAACGGTTTCGTCGGCGGCAAGGAATTCTTCCTTTCCAGGTTTAGCCCAAATCTACCTCTTTATTTCTCTCACTCCATTGAATTTCCTATTTTGATTATATTATTTACTATAAATGTAAGAACAGATTTGATTTGTCTTTTTTACATAATTGTTACTTAAAAAATAAGTATTAGATTTTGTTACTGTAAATTTCTCTGATGACTTCGTATGCTTCTTTTTTGTTTGTAATAAAATACTGTTTCCTTTCCTTTTAAAGCTATTTTAGATTTCCGGGTTTGATTTATTATTTTTATTTTTATTTTTTGGTTATCTGGTTTTGAGATCCAAACGCTTGGTTTATCTTCTGTGAAAGCATTTACCAAAGTTTGGTGATCCAAAAACTCTTTTTAGGAAGTTACAGTACTACCCTTGGAAAACACACAGAAACACAGTTTGTGTATTTTTGCCTTTCCCCAAGTCTCTCTGTTTCTAGGTTTTTCTCTTGTTTAGCTTTTGTGTGAAACATAAAAGAGTTTTCAATCTAAGTCGTGTTTGTTATTTTTAAAAAATATTTATAAGATCTCAAAATTTTCTTGCCTTTCTTTGACCCAATCTTCAAATATGGCTCCTCGTTCGAAATCACAATATTAATCGATTTTAGATTTCTTCTTATTCTCTGTTTGGTCCCTCTAAGATAAAAAATCTCTTTAATATTTTTGGTTTTTGGTCTGCGTTTTGATTCTGATTCTTTTAAAAATATGTAAATGGGTACTACTAGTTTCCTTTTCTAAATTTTGTCCCTATTTTTAACACGAGAACAAAAAAAACTTTCGTCATTTCATTTTACTCTGAACTTTAAAAAAGAAAAGAAACAAAACCACCTGTGGATTTAAGCTGTTCATCGTCCTCATCATGCCCAGGAATCTAGAAGATCGATCAGCCAACGGATCACCATCAAGAAACATCAACGGTCGTATGGTGTCCAGATCGGCCGTTTCAAAGCGATCTCCACCGTCTCCTGACCAAATCGAGAAGAGATCAAGCATGAGGGATCATCATCATCAGAACCACCAGAGACAAAACGGGTTCGATCATATTCATCAACAACATCAAAGAGTGAACAGATCAGAATCGACGGCTCAGGCTCATCTAGAGCTGGAGACAAACAATAACAACGGAGAGAGAGAGAAAGCAACACAAGTGGAAGTGGTAGAGTGGCCAAGGATCTACATTGCCTTGTCTAGGAAAGAGAAGGAAGAAGATTTCTTGGTTATGAAAGGAACAAAGCTTCCTCATAGACCCAGGAAACGAGCTAAGAACATTGACAAATCCCTCCAGGTAGATTCATGAATTAATTTAAAAAAGCAAAACCAAATTGAAAAGTTTTCATTTTTATCTAACCGTTAAAAAAAGAAAAACTCATGAAATGAAAGTTTGTTAATTTGTGTTGTGGACAGTATTGTTTTCCAGGGATGTGGTTATCTGATTTGACCAAGAACCGTTATGAAGTTAGGGAGAAGAAAAATGTGAAGAAGGTAATTAACTTTACTAACCCTGTTTTTTAGTTATTTGATAATGACAAAAAGACTTAAAATAAGTAAGAATTATAGTATAATAGAAGAACAAAAGATGGAATGTTATAGATGAATGATGATGAATCTATATGGGTCTAGGTCTATATAATATTTACATAATATTTTATAGTATGTGGCAGAGAAGGTGGTGAGTTGTAGACAAAATTGGGTGGACCTTATTTATTAATAACATAATATGTATTTTAATGGAATGAAGAAAATGGACAAGACATGGGACCTACTATTCCACCTAATGGAGAATAATGAACCATTCTTTCTCATTTTCTCAAGGAAAAACGAGAAGAACACCAGTTTTAATAAAATTGTTTGCAAAAGTAATACTTGAAATGAGATAGTATATAATAATCTAAATAAAACTGGATTTGTCAAAAAAGTATTACATCTTTTGTTTGTTTATGTGCATCAATTGAAAACACTAAGTACTCGGGAGGCAAGTCTTGTTTCTTGATGAGGACATTTTACTGGTTAATGGAGATGTCCAGGTTTCGTTTATGCAATTTTTAAACGTATGTTTGACATAGAAATGTAATGATTAAAGTGAGGATTTTATGGGAATTAATACTGATTAGTTGAATTTTTACATATATGCAGCAGCAGAAACGGAGAGGATTGAAAGGTATGGAGGATTTGGACACTGACTCGGAGTAAATTCCGGTTCTGTTTTTTTGTCGTTGTTGTGAATTTCGATTTCTCTTTTGAGAAATAAAAGACCTGAGGAGGACGCACGTGTAGCTTGCTTGGGATGCACGTGCGAAATGGGGCCAACAAGAATCAGTGAAGCGAGCTATCCGAGAAATCCCCCTAATTATTTTTTCTTTTAACCTCTATCATATTTTCTTTCTTTGTTTTTTATCTTCTTCTTATTTTGGGCCCCAAAATTCTTTTTGTTTCGTTTCGTGTTCAAAAAAAAAGGGGTCATAAATATAATTCCCCATATTAGTTATTAAATCAAAAATGAAAAATGCGTTCGCTCTCTCTATTTTTCACAATTATTTTGGCTCATTTTATAATAGATAATTTCGATATGCAAGAATAATCAATCTTACATAACCCCAAAAAAGAACAATAATTAGTAACTGAAGATATCTCTCTGATTACGTCAAAGATTCTCTGTGAATCGATGATGGTTCAATTTCAAACCACATCGGCTTTATGTCATTCTCAAGGCATCCTAACTGTTCGGCCTCTGACTCAAACTTTGCTTCATTTGGTTTATTTGTTTGTTCGGTTTCAAATTGTTCCGTCTTCCCTTTAACCAGAAAAACACCAAACTATCATTTTTGCTTGTCATCTCCTTACGTCAATCCGACCGATCCGGTTCGATCCTAACCGGGGAAGGTTTATCAGCTCATTGACTTCTAACTTAAACCGTCGTCGCGCGAGAAAAGAAAAAACACCAATCTGAATTAAACCGATGGAATTTTCAGGACGGCGAGTGAGAAGATTCAGAATGAGATTCGGACGGAACCGCCTCGCCGGCGCCGGAGGCGGCGATTACAATGATGGTTCAATCCTCCACGGCGGGAATACGGAAAGCCAAGCTTCGTGTTGCTACTGCGATCTCAAGATCTCGAGGTTCAACGAACCAATCTTCCGCCTCGGACGGCGATTCTCCGGCATGATGAAAGTCTGGTTCTCAATCGGACTCGGATTCGGCGTCGCCTCTCTTCTCCTCGTTACCCTCTTTCTCCTCCTCCAATTCCACCCTATCCCACTCTCCAACCGCCTCGCCGCCTCCGTATTCGGATTCTCTCCGTCCACAGTGAGCTCAATTAACTAAAAATCTCATCTTTAAAATTCGAAAATAAAAGCTAAATACTTTGAGCGTTTGTTTTTGCAGCGCGTATCACTTTCCGGCATCGTTTACGTATTTGTTTCCACTGTTATTACTGTCTTAGTTCATGAAATTGGCCACGCACTTGCTGCTGCTAGGTTTGTTCCTCAAAATTCCTTTTTAAAAAAATAAAGCTCTCACCTTTTTTCTCATTCTTAATGACATTATAGTCTCTTTCCCTGTAAAGTCCTTTTGTTAGAATTTGGGTTGCTTTTGAAGCTTTGCTCTCAGATTATATGAGTTGTTTAATTATAGGCTTCTTCTGATTGAGCGGCAGTGAAGGAATTCAGATGGAATACGTTGCCGTTTTCATCGCAGCTATATTTCCGGGAGGTCTTGTAGCTTTCGATCATGATCTCCTACAGTCACTTGCAAGCTTCAATGCTCTTCGTGTTTACTGTGCTGGTATTTGGCACAATGCAGTGGTTCGTTTATAGATAAAGCTCTCTTCAAATAAAGCTCTGTTTTTTCTTTCACTTCGTTTGATCTTGATTTTGAATTCCTTTCTGCAGTTGTGCCTGCTCTGCGCGTTGGCTTTGTTTCTCTTGCCTGTAACGTTGTCTCCGTTCTACAAACACGGTGAAAGCCTCGTGGTACGTTTCTAAGGTTAATAAACTTATATTAATCTTCTCTTGTAGAAAGTCTGATACTTCAACTTTCTTCTGTAGGTTGTGGATGTACCTTATAAGTCGCCGTTGTTTGGTTACTTATCTCCTGGAGATGCTATCGTGTCATTGGACGGCATACGGATCCATAAACCTAGCGAATGGCTTGAATTGGCAGCGATTTTGGATAAGCAAAACATTGAAACATCGAATGCTTCCTCGTATCTTGGAGGTTCGAGGAGGTTTCATCACGGGAAAGGTTACTGTGTCCCTATCTCTCAGATTGAAGAAGGGCTCAAGGGGAAGATGGTTGAGAACCAATATCTTTGTCCCGGTGATCTCACTCCATTTCAACATGTGCCATGCTCAAATGCAGCTCCGAGAGAGGTTTACGTTTGTTTGGATGCAAAGGATATCGTCAAGCTTGACAAATGCGGTGATGGATGGGTGGCAACATCAGACACTGATGTTAAAAGTGACTGCGTTTGTTCACAGGTGAATATTGCGTGAGAGTATGAATCCTCAAAACATTGATCATATGTAATATCGTTGCGGTTATATGACTTTATATGCATTTGATGATTGATGTTTCAGGGGGAGGCGTGTTTACAGGCAGTGCAATCTCCAGGCGTATCATGGACAGAGATCACCTATAAAAGAACCTCGTCACAGGATTGTTCTAGACTTGGTCTGGATTACAATAGCTCGAGTTGTGTCGGGACGTTTGTATTTGTCGGTGATCTGACCGCCATGTCACGGTCAGTTCGTTTAACCGCATACCAACCTCGCTGGCTGTTTAACTTCTTTGGCAAATCCTTCCCGGATATCATAGAAAGGAGCTTGACCTGCACGTTCCATGTCTCTCTCGCGCTAGTTCTTCTCAACAGCTTACCAGTAAGTTCTACATCCAAATCCGATACTGAATCTCATGTAAGTTATGATCTTGTTTGCTTGATCTTAAAATTGCATTTTTTTGTTGCCAGGTGTATTACCTTGACGGTGAGTCCATTTTGGAATCTAGTCTCCAGTCTTTGACTTGGTTAAGCCCAAGAAAGAAGAAGAAAGCTCTTCAAGTTTCCCTTTTTGGAGGGAGTCTCCTCTCTCTCCTCGCCTTCTTCAGAATCTTCCTCATCGGTTTACCTCTGAGCCGATGGTGAATTGCCCTGTATAACATTACGACATGATTGGGATTGTTCATGTTTGATCTCATTTACTGTAGATATAGTTGTATAGAATCTAAATCAGTTAGATACACACCTCATCTTATAATTTATGGCTCAACAGTTTTTATAATGAATCTCACTTTGGTCTTTTTGTATCTGCTTATGAACACATGTGCTTCTCTTTCTCTTTCTCTTTCTCTTTCATATACAGTGACTGTGAGACAAGAGAAGGTCCGATATCATTAGGAGGACTTTGGGAGTGCCCAATTCGGTTTAGTTAAACCGAAATGTATCCGATAAATTTTGCTACGAACCGAGCCTTATTTTCACCGTATTGGGTCAAATTCAGGCTCGTATTCTCAAATTCACTTGAAAGTGTAATAAGTCTAAGTGAAACTATATAAGATCTTATGGAAATCTTAAGCCCAAATGGAATCGTAAACTCAGAACTCAGAAGCCCAAAGGTTCTATTCTATAGAAAGAGTCTATTTCAGTAATAATGTTTTAGGTCACACTTTGAAGTTTGAGATATTTTAAATCTTGATAATAAAATATTCCATGCAATTTTGTAATAAATAACCAGGTTTAGCTTTATTTGATGCTTGATTTTGCTACCATTAGATCATATTCTTTTTTTTTTTTGGTCAAGAGATCATATTCTTTTGCAGATTTTCTTTTGACGTTCGTTCGGATTTTAATGATGAGGCACTGAGGTGAAAAAACCCACGGGTGGTAATATTTTAATGATTCTTTCTATTGTCCTTTTTAATTTTCTATTATCAAAGTTTTTGTAAACATCCTTTTATCAAGAATTTTTTTGTAAACAATGACTATGATTAAAATCAAATCATAGTCATAGTCATGACGATGATTAAAATAGCCCAAATTATGAAACACCAACCGCAACCTTAAAGGTGGACCAAAGGGCTGTAAAGAGAGCAATAGATAAGATTCTCAGTCCACGGTCCATTCTTTTGCGATTACATTTCTTCTTTTTTTCCTAACATTTCGTATTTTCTCATCCATAAAATATTTTAAAAAAACAAAAAAAAAACATGACTCCCCCCCCCAAAAAAAAACAAATTATGTATTGAAAACAAAGTTGCGTAAAATATTATGTCTTACGGTATGAATCCAATTTATCAATTGTTTAATTTATCTGTTAATATATTTAAATGTTCTTTTTTAAAAGCATGTATAAAGGTTTAGTTTATAGTATATTATGATTCGATGTCAAACAAAAAAAGATTATAATATATGATTAAAGAACAATAAAAAAAAACCAAATTAATTGTTTAAAACTTTCACAGTAGATAGACCAAATTAATTGACAAGAAAAATATAAAAACAAAAACCAAAATGATAGAAAACTATGAAAACGCGTCCACGTGGACCAACGATGGAACGAGGGTAGGCTATTCAAATACGTTGGGCTTGCTTCTTAGCCCAAGTCAAGTGGATTAATCAAAACGCACCGTGCCATTCATCAATTCGCCTCTTACAAACTTTTACTGTTTTGGGATCAAATTTCCTTTGCACGTTATCTAGAAAAAAAGGAAATAAAAACTTGATAAGTTTATAAACAAGTATGAAATGAAAACTACGTTCAGTTTGATAAAAAAAAAAAATTTCATGGCGTTTCAGGTATGTTCTTTCTTTTTTACGTCGGTGTTCCAATAAATATTAGCATCAAACAAACTTAAGAGTGAAGAGAAGACATGTGGGGATATAGCTCGGTCGTTTGGTTGCTTCTACACCTTGCATGACTCGACCCATGATCAAGACATAAAAAGCTTTTCTCGTTTTTCTTCTTTTGTATTGATATTTTTTGAAAATTTTTTTGCTATGTTTATTTTGTTAACATATGTGAAAGTATAATTTGAAATTTTGAAATTTTGTTGAAATGATATATGTTCGTAAGATTATGTTTTGGCCGTATATCAGTTTTGTTTATTTCAACTACAATGACTCCTTGTCAGTATTTTTGTTGATTAGTAATATTTTCTATTACAACTAATTAATTAAAGATAAGTAAAATTCTATATTACAACTGAAGATATATTGGCAGAGCCGTGCCAATCACAGTAACTTACATAAACAAATAAAAAAAAGATGCCCTTATTTATTAATAATTTTTTTATAATAATAAATATAATTGCTACATAACAAAACAGTATAATAAAATCAATAATCTAAACTATAGTTTTAAAGTTTAAAATTTTCTTCTATTTTTTTAACAAAATGGTTGCCAAAATTTTTAAATCAAAATTTTCTAACAGTTATTTTTCAATAGATAAAATATCCATATCATTCAATATTTGTTACTATTCATTATTTTTTATGAGATAGTGAAGCGAAAGAAAAATAAACATAATAATTTTACTCTAATTATAACAAATTTGGTAAAATCTTGAAAAGTTTTGTACATTCATACTAATAAACTTGTTAGCGGCAACTTAGAAATAAGGAAAAAAAGTTACATAGTATAATTTTGTTTTAGTCTAATTCTTTGATAAATACAATTATTTATATTTTTATTTAGTAAGTTAAATGTTTTAAATTTATTGTTAACTTATTGTTTTGTAAATCTATATATGTGTTTAAGTAAAGTATGTTCATATTATATTTGAGATTAATACAATTTAACAACAATAATAATAGATTATTAATTTTTTCAACAAAGTTAATGCCTTATAATTATATTTAAAAAAAATGATGCTATACACCAATCTTTTTAAAATTATAAGGTAGGCACAGCACTGTATATTGGGAGTCAAAATTTTCCATAAACAATCGTTGGACGGTTTCACCAAGGTTCAAAATATATATAGATTGTTTTATCACTAATAGTAAAAGATCAAAGATTTGCAAAAATAATATTTAAAAACACACGAAGCTGCATAACATACGTCAGACGATATACAAACGTGTCGGTGTAATTGGCTTAAAGCTAAGCGACAAGAGCCAATAGATTTGGGAACATTACTCATTTCGATTCTTGACAATAACACTGAGAAGACTTCTCTGTGACTCATAAAAAACTAATATTAAAAAGCTTTGCTTTTTACTTTTATTATTGTTTTTTTTAACCTAAAGTCTGGTATCTTTTTTTGAAACAAAGTCTTCCTTTTTCTTTTGGATAATCAAAATTACTGTTTTTTTCAAATTTCTTAGATACTCTACATTTTTCCTCCACAGAACTTTGTTTTCGATTACTCGAGGAGTTTTAAATCAAAGCCAATACAGCTTTTCTATAGACGCCACCCTTTCCAAAACATATTCAAACTAAATGATATATCTAAGTCGCACATTTTTTAAATAGACCTAATTAGTAACACCAGTAGACTGTCACACACTTGGTTGTACCACAAAACTTAGCAATTAATAAAACGGTAAAAGAATCGCAAAGCCAGTATACATATGTTAAACTTTAATTAGTTCAGATCATGTGAATTAAGAAAAAATTAGTGATGAATGTTGGGAAAAAAACTTTGTTAAAGAGTATCAATCGAATAACATTGTTTTGAAGAACCAATAATTATTACGTACGTACACAAAAATAAACTGAAAATACTAATAATATTGGAGAAAGAATTTCAGAAACTAAGACTGTTGGCGGCTGAAAATGTTGGATTAAATCCTCATTAAAATGTATTACAAGTTCCTAATCAACAATTAATGTCGATGTCACTATTTCAGCTCTAGTGGAATCGTCGCAGATTTCAAAAAAGTTTCCCTATCGACCAAGTCTTTCATGTTTTCCTTTAGTTTTCAATCCTTAACCATTTAAATTTGCTCTATCTAAAGACTGTAATTAATAGTATAGAATAAAGTTTTAAACATGCACAAATCTATCTTATTGCTAACGAAACATGCATTTTAACATTGAAACATCGGTCTCGTACGTAGTTTGATGTGAAACATAAGTCAAGAAATGTAATATAAGGAAGATATATGTATCAGAGTAAGATGAGAAGGTGCATGTGACCGTGAAGAGAGAAGAAGAGAGAGAAAGCACATGCAAAAAGGTATCCCAACTGCCATTACCTAACATTTTCACGTCTCAAGATTGGTGTATGGTCTCTCTATTTAAAATCACCCATGTGATCTTTTCTGATTTATTCATCTTTTTAAAAATAGTAACTTTTTGTCTATTATGTGATTTATATCGTACGTAGTAGAACGTTTAACCCCCGATTTTTTTTTAAAGCTGGAACATTTTGTTATTTATAAAGGTGAAAGTTGAAACGTTCAGTCGGAGCAAATGTCATTGGATAATATCGCATATTTTTCGATTTTGTGTTTGTACCTAAACTTTATGTACAACTGAAACGAAATTGAACTGGAACTAATTATACATATATAAAATGAAATTAAAACTGTAACCAAAGTCAGTTATTTTCTATTATATCCAAAATTTTTTTTTAACATATTCACACATGCATCACGATAAAGTCCACAATATATAAACCTAACTACATGTCAATATGCAAACGCAATGTCTATTTTTCAATATAATATATTCCTACGACGAATGGATAAAATTTACATTTAAACTAAAAACTATATACAATATACATACGGGACCATAACAAACATTTTTGACATGTAAGTATGATGTAATACACTAGCTAGGGTTTCTTAAAAGTGTGTATTAATCGATAACTTTTTTTTTTACGTGTTCGATATATCCATAATTTCAATAAAACACTAGATTTTTGTCTCTTAACCAGCAGATAACATATAACTGATGATTGTGTGATTTTACATACAAAATTTTACAAATTACATAGACTTATATAATCTCATTTATTAGACCACTCTATAAAATAAAGAATAAGATTAATCTAAAAGTGTTTTTCTGGAGGGTGAAAACTTTTTAAAAATTGACGGATGTAAAAAGTATGGGAAGATGATGGTAAATGATGTTTTTTTAGCTTCAAAAGATACATCTTCGTGTGTTTTCTTTTTTACGTGTTTTCTTACAACATTTTACTAAAACAGAAGTATATATATAGTTATTCCGTGTCATAAAAAGAGTTACGGAATTCAAATATTTCATGTGGGCTATATGATCAATCAAACAATACTATAGAGCAATTTGCTAAAATCATACATAATATATACTTTTCCAACCAAAAAAAAAAAACTCACACAGAATAGTAGCA